ATTGTGACAATATGGCTGTTGTTACGATTCTAAATACAAAATCCTCATTAATTACAGGGTTATCTTTTCGTTGAGAAAAATAGTTCTGTAGACGTTAATATTCAATTATTAAAAGCGTTGCATTCTTTAAAAAGACCATTTTATTACTGATGCTTTATATCGTGGACAGATGAAAAAATTCAGAGAAGTAACAAGCAATGCCGACCCAAAGCCAGAGACTACTCCACAAGAATTATTAGATCTGTTGATGTAACAGCTTCAACATTGTTAAATTATTCAATTTCTCGAAGAACGTTCATGGAAAGGTAGTGCATTTGTTCAATAAGTTCAGAATGGACTATTCGGCTGTGCCTTTCTTATAAGCTGATTTAGGTTGTTTTATGTATTTGTTTTTATTATGTAGTTAGTGACCACATCGGAGTTAACATGTATATCTATTATATAGTCATTTTTTATAAATTTACTGTTTGCATAAGTATGAATTATTCTAAATACTAAGGATTTTCTTATTCCAGGCATATAACCTTAGCCGTATTTGGCACAACATTTTGGAACTTTTCGTCCTCAATGCTCTTCAACTTTGTACATATTTTGGCTTTCGAACTTTTTTTATCTGAGCGTCACTGATGGGTCTTATGTAGACGAAACGCGCGTCTATCGTATTAAATCATAAGCCTGGTACCTTTTGATAGCTATTTTGTGTGTGTGTCTCTGTCCTGTATGTTCTCCCATTTATTTGTATTGTAGTCCTGTCATGTAATCTTGTCATTTTAATGTTATATTTAACATTGCGATAAAAGCGGGAGGTTTGACTAGCCACAAAACCAGGTTCAACCCACCATTTTTTCTTAAAATGTCCTGTAGCAAGTCAGGAAAATGGCCATTGTTCTATTACAGTTCGTGTCTGTGTGTGTTGCATTTTAGAGTTGAGTTTCTGTTGTGTCGTTGTTCTCCTCTTATATATGACATGTTTCCCTCAGTTTTAGTTTGTAACCCGGATTTGTTTTGTTTTTTTTTTTTCTAAATCGATTTTTGAATTTCGAATAGCGGTATACTACTGTTGCCTTTATCTATTCCCCTTATTTGGCCACACATTATTCGCTATTGTGTTTTTTTGTCACTTAATCGTTATTTACTATCAACAATTGGATCATATCTGGGATAAGCTTTTAGATAAAACTTCAAGGGAATGAAGATTTAACTAAATCTTTAATCGTTCAGAATCTTTTATTTTTTAGGTGGTTGTGATAGACTTAACAAGTGTAAAGATCTTAGGGAACTAATTTCTATTGATATTTTATTCAGACTAAATGCGGCTTTGAAGCACATGTGCTCTTCTCGATATGGAACTGTAATGTTTCAAACATCATTTAACTTAGCTTTTGCTGCATTTATACGTGTAAGTGAACTTGCTATTACATCAAATGTTATACACGAGCATGATTTACATAGGAAAAAGGTATCAAATGAGATTTTTCCTCTACATAGTTCGAAAGCTTTTTTTACAAATTTGCCCTGAACATGATTGTCTTTTTTTATGCCATATTAATGGAAAACCATTTACAATATATCAGTTTCGGACTGTTTTAAACAAGGGACTCCAGTTTTTGAGTTTAAACGTATCAAAATCTAATACGCACTCGTTTCGAACAGTAGCAGTGACATCAGCCTTTAAGTGTAGTAAATCTGAAAATCAGATCAAATAGTTATCAAAGGTACAAGGCTTGTAATTTTGATACGCCAGACGCGTCTTTCGTCTGCATAAGACTCATAAGTGACGCTCCGATCAAAACAGTTAAAAAGCCAAACAAGTATAAAGTTGAAGAGCATTGAGGATCAAAAATTCCAAAAAAAAGTTGTGCCAAATACGGCTAAGGTAATCTATGCCTGGGATAAAAAAATCCTTAGTATTTCGAATAATTTTTACTTTTGCAAACAGTTAATTTATATAAAATGACCATATAATTGATATTCATGTCAACACCGAAGTGATGACTACTGGGCTGGTGATACCCTCGGGAACGAAACGTCCACCAGCAGTGGCATCGACCCAGTGGTGTAAATTTGTGATCAAAGGTACCAGGTTTATAATTTTGATACGCCAGACGCGCGTTTCGTCTACATAAGACTCATCAGTGACGCTCCGATCAAAAAAGTTAAAAAGCCAAACAAGTATAAAGTTGAAGAGCATTGATGATTCAAAATTCAAAAAGAAATGTTGCAAACAGTTAATGTATATAAAATGACCATATAATTGATATTCATGTCAACACCGAAGTGCTGACTATTGGCTGGTGATACCCTCGGGGGTGAAACGTACACCAGCAGTGGCATCGTCCAAAACCATGGGTAGCTGTTTGTCGTGCTCATTCTAGAGGTACATTTGAATTCCTAATATTTAATTTAGGTTTCAGCAAAAAACGGATATTTGGATTATTGGTTCATCTTTCGTACAAAAGGCATCTGAACACACATAAACTAGGGCAACTTTTGATCTGGGTCTGGATAAACTTGGTTACTCTAAGCTCATAACGTTGAATTCATTAGTTGTAATTTTAGCTGATATTGTAAGTTATTTAATTGTTAAACACGTGCATTTAGGTGAAAAATTCTGTTGAATATAGAACAAATTAATTGTTGAGTTGTAAATGGATAGTTGAATAAATGTTGACTTGTACACGTTGTTCGTAGTTGTACTGATGTTTAGTATAGATGATAAACTCCGTTGAACTGATATGGTTGAGTTGAAAACCTATTTAGTTTTAGAATTTGTTTTGTGTGATAAATGTTTTGTAATGGATTGATAAATTTTGTTTGGCGATGCTATCTAACGATGTTTACTAGCATTTAGCTGACTTTATCCCACTTGGAGTTGGTAGCCCAATTGCCATTTTGAGAACATATGCTGGTTGTCCTTTGGCGTTTTCATCTTGGACATTTATGAAACATTGTAGATGAATGCAAATTCGTTGGCCTATTCATATTATTGAACATGTTGAACTGTCCTAATAAATGCATGACAAAAAAATGCCAAAATTCAAACTTTCAATTTGCTGTTTTTTATTTTGATTATTGGATAGTTTGTCTTACAATTCTTTTTTTTTATAATGAGGATTAACTGGAATTGTTTAAAATATTACGATTTCAATGAATTTTGGTTATCTTTATAAAATTGAGAATGGAAATGGGGAATGTGTCAAAGGGACAACAACCCGACCATAGAACAGACGACAGCAGAAGGTCACCAACAGGTCTTCAATGCAGCGAGAAATTCCCGCACCCGGAGGCGTCTTTCAGCTGGCCCCTAAACAAATATATATACTAGTTCAGTGATAATGATTTTCTACATGTATATCGAATCGCTATATTTACATCTGTTGGTTTGTTGGTTTGTTGGTCTGTTGACAATATAATGGAATTTTTATGCGACTATCATACAAGTGAGAGGTTTAGCTAGCTACAGATGGGTGCAGTCCTAGCCTGTTCAGCAAGTTAACTTGATAACCAGTCATTTGGACTGGTCAAAGTTAACCTGTGACAGGATTTAGGACTGCTCTAACCAGTCCTATGATCACAATCTAGTTAACTTGAAAAGCGGACTTGGTCCTTGGACTGTTTTTATGTCTGCCGAAAACGTTAACTTGGAAACAGGTCCGCTACTGATATAAGTTAACTTCGAAACCAGTCCTGCCATAAGTTAACATAAGTTTACTTTGCTTTTGACAACTCCGATTGAACCAGACCTGATCTCAAGTTAACGTTTGGCTGGTCTGCTCAACACTAAGTTAACTTGTAACCAGGACCGCTCTACATCGATTTTTTTTAAATATTTTTTAATATTTTTGTTTCTTTGTATAAACACAGAAAAATAAAGTCAATTTAATACATCCGTGATATAAACACGATTAAATAAATGTATTTTTAAATAAAGTACGCATAAAACTTATCGGGGATTGAATATATATTCCAATACATATCAAATTCTTTAAATCGTATAAACCATATTTGCACTTTATTGTGTATATCTATATAGCCGCATAGTAAATCAGCAATATTTTTATGTCAGGATATAATGTATAATAAAAATGACAGCAATATTGGAACACAATGACTACACAATTTTGTCCGCATAAATTTGAGTGCCATTATGTCCTCCTTTTGTTCAATATATTGATACGTAACAAAATTAAAGTAGTTTTGATACCTTAGGCTGACTCGTATAGCAAAATTTTTTGACCGCATCAACCGAAACTGACCATATTTGCACTTTATTTTGTAAATCTACAAAGCCGCATAATAATTCAGTAATACTTTATGTCAGCATGTATTGTATAATACAAATATTGGAACACAATGTGAATACAAAATTTTATCCGTATCAATATAGATTGCCAGCATATCCTCTTTTTATTCAAAATATTGTCTCGCAACAAAATTTCAGTAGTTTTGATACCTCAGGCTGACTCTATAACAAAATTATTTGACCGCATCATCCGAAACTGACCATATTTGCACTGTATTTTGTTACAATGCATTGAATATATATTTCAATACATATCAAATTCTTTAAATCGTATAAACCATATTTGCACTTTATTATGTAAATCTATTTAGCCGCATAGTAAATCAGCAATATTTATGTCAGGATTATGACAGTTGTTTTCCATGCGTTTGATGTGATTGAGGTTTTGATTTTGCCATTTTATAAATGACTTTTCGATTTGAATTTTCCTTGGAGTTCAGTATTTTTTGTTATTATACTTTTTTCTTTCAAATATTTAATTGTTGGCACTGATATTTTACCCTTTGGTATCGTATATTGTCCCTCTGGTATCTTTCGTCCCTCTTTTACCTTGTTGGAGAACTTACTGATATAAATCTTTCAAATATATTTCATACAAAATCTGGCAGGAATTGCATGTGTAAGAACGCTTACAAGACCGGAAGGACAACCTGTAAACTTGTATGTATGAAAATAATGCGTGTCATCAGAAATCTGCTTAAACCAAGTCTTTATTTGTATATGATAAAAATAGTTATTTATCTATAGATCGTTTGGTAACCATTTCCTTTTTCTCGCCTTTCAGCATTACCGTCTCTGAAAAAAAATGGGATATATATCATAAGAAAAATGACATATTTTATAAAATTGTTTCTGCATTTATTCAACTTTTATTCAAATATGATATATATGTACATATAAATAATTCTTATTTGCATAAAGCTTATTGTTTTATTTCAGTTGCAGATCTTTATCATTGAATTAAATATATTTAAGTACAAGACATATTTGACTCCTTGTTTAGAAATAATTTATTCTCAGAAGAGACAGTAAAACTTGTTCAATACATCTGAATACGAATATCAAACTTGTCCGTTTCAATCTTTTGTCAGAAAACTTTTTTTTTTTTTTTGCTTTTTCCAGTTTATGATTAAAAACACAGATATGTCAGACAAAAAAAACAACTAAAAATCACACAAAAACGTCAACGAAGACAAAATGACACCTTACTTACCTTGACTTCTTCACAATTGTTGGGACCACATACTTCTATGATGGTAGCATTGGCAAGAGCTTTGGATTGGTAAAACTTAACTACTTCATTACCTAACAAGAAATATACACCAATTACTTTTTTTGTTTCACAACTAACCTAGTGTGCATATAATTTGTTTTCTCGTGGTGTATGCACTTTAATTTTACTAAAGGACATCTGGAAATAAATTTATCTTTTTCTTAGTCCAAAATATTGATATATCTAGCTATATTTTTTTTCTATACCGCAAGATAATACGTCTTTAAATTTAAATTGAATGTTAAAGAGGTTCATAAATATTTTTTTTTTTAATCTGACATTGCTTAATGTGTAACCCGCCTGGAGTTTGTTTATCGAAAGTTTTGTTATGTTCTATGGTAATATAACTTACTTGGCTCATAGTACTCCCTCAATTTGACCCATACCGGTTTATGTCGAGCAACCAGGGCAACTCTTTTTATGTCTACTTCAATACACATTTGCTCTGACAGAATCTACAGAAAATAGAAAAAAAATGATTTCTTTTACCAAACAATGTAGTAAGACTAACATACTACCGACTGAAAATGGTTTACACAACTATCGATCGTCGACTCTCAATGATCGTAAGGTATTATAATTAAATTCAATATGGTGATCTATACAATGCCAATGATTTGTGTCACACGGTAACGCCTATCAATTTGAAAATAGGTATAAACTACCTCTGTACTATATATGTGTTGCAAAAAATATGTGTGACGGAGCGAAGGTCAGAAGATGAAGATTTATTATAGTGAACATCCTCCTTTGAATAGAGGTTTTGTATATCTTTTTTCAAATTAATAAGCAAAAAGGTAGTTAAGTAACAGATATATTCTTGTCCGGTGCATTATTATTTTGTTGACTGCATATAAAGTTAACAATAATCGAATGATTTAGTTATAAAACAAACACAAATTAGAAACTACATATATATATATATAACTGAAAAATATAATTGTGATGCAATTGAGTGGTATTCAGACGACTTTTTATAGTTCGTTCTTATATTGTACTGTTACACCACTGTCCCAGGTTAGGGGAGGGTTAGGATCCCGCTAGCATGTTTAACCCCGCCACATTCTGTATTTATGTGCCAGTCCCAGTCCCAAGTCAGGAGCCTGTAATTCAGTGGTTGTCGTTTGTTTATGTGTTACATATTTGTTATTCGTTCATTTTTTGTACATAAATTCGGCCGTTAGTTTTCTCGTTTGAATTGTTTTACATTGTCATTTCGGGGCGTTTTATAGCTGACTGTGCGGTATGGGCTTTGCTCATTGTTGAAGGCCGTACGGTGACCTATAGTTGTTAATTTCTGTGTCATTTGGTCACTTGTGGAGAGTTGTCTCATTGGCAATCATACCACATCTTTTTTTTTTATATATTGTCAACATTTTGTATGTATTGACTGTTTAGTTCTGGTACTCTATTGTATCTGGAGACAAATTAAAGAAACATATAATGACTAAATCGTTACCGCATCAAAATATAAATTAATTTGACGGAAAGCCTTCTCCACTTTTTTGTATTGTCCTCCAGTATTGGTAGTATCGATTGACTCTAAGTCAGCTTCCATCCCAGATGGTAAAGATATTTCAAGCATTCCCATTGTACTTTGTCCTCCCCTTAACCAACTGTATAAGGAATAGTATCGTATAACATATAAATAACATATACAAAGTATTGCGCACCAGTTTACTTAAATTTTTGAAAGGCGCATTAAATCATTATGTTCATATGTACAACAATTATTAGTGGACGTCAAAACCTTATTGAACCTATAAAAAATCAATAAAGCTAACGAGGGTTGCATGAGACATCGAAATCCGCCTATTGTATGAAAACATAAAGTAACAAAAATACCGAACTCCGATGATATTTGCTTTTCTGTTATATATATATTGTTGAATTTTTCGAAATTCTAATGTTTTTCTTCCCCCTAATATGATTGCCTAAGCCTTATTGTCGGCTCTTGAACTTCTTAGTCTTCCAACTATTTTGATTCGTGAATCACTGATGAGTCTTATGAAGACGAATCGCTCTTCTGGCGTCCACGATTATAAGATTGCTCCAACTGTTTTGATTTGTGAGTCACCGATGAGTCTAATGAAGACGAATCGCTCTTATGGCGTCCAGAATTATAAGATTGCTCTAACTGTTTTGATTTGTGAGTCACTGATGAGTTTAATGAAGACGATCCGCTCTTCTAGTGTCCACAATTATAAGATTGCTTCAACTGTGTTGATTTGTGAGTCACTTATGAGTTTAATGAAGACGAATCGCTCTTCTGGCGTCCAGAATTATAAGATTACTCCAACTGTTTTGATTTGTGAGTCACTGATTAGTCTTATGAAGACGAATCGCTCTTCTGGCGTCCACAATTATATGATTGCTCCAACTGTTTTGATTTGTGAGTAACTGATGAGTCTAATGAAGACGAATTGCTCTTCTGGCGTCCACAATTATAAGATTACTTTCTTTGATAATGTTGCTGTACATATAACTTATTTCAACCAAACGGTATATATATATATATATATATATATAATGCTACCAAAACCGTATAGCTTTTCATCTTCACATTTATGCAAACAACATGGGGAAGCTAATGATTTGTCATTCATTTTACTGAATAATTATCCTACTGATTGACGAGAGGCAAATTTTACTCTCCTACATCCTATACAGGACTTTTATTTTGAGTCTCATCTGCATAATGATATAGAAAAAAGTTAGTGTTAATCTAAGTGATCCTTGAAGCAAATCCCTGCCTACACAATGTGTCGTTTTTCTGACAAAATATCATTGGTCGCTAAATTGCATGTTGTGTTTACCGGGACATAAATATTACACTAAATTAACTACCTGAAAGCAATATACTGTTACTTGATCTTAACATATTTTTCCATTCCGTTGATAATGACAAAATGCATAAGTCATTGCTGTACGTTGATAATGGTTAATTTCTTTTTTGCTCTATATGTTTCTGCATTGACCCTGGTATTTATTGGCGATTACCCAAGCTATATATACAGCTTACCGAGATATACAAAAGTCAATCAAGTCCGAGTTTGTAAGTATTTATACGAAGCAGCTTATAAGTATTTATACGAAGCATCTTGTATTTATTTATACGAAGCAGCTTGTATCTATTTACCTGAAGCAGCTTGTATTTATTTACCTGGAGCAGCTTGTATTTATTTACCTGCAGCGGCTTGAAGTTATTTTGCCGAAGAAGCTTGTATTTATTTACCTAAATGAGCTTGCATTTATTATCTCAATCAGCGTATTTTTATTTACCTGGAGCATGTTGTATTTATTTACCTAAATCAGCTTGCATTTATTACCTAAATCAGCGTGTTTTTATTTACCTGAAGCAAACTCTTAATCTGAATCCTTTAGTTGAATCATTGAGTACTGTTGTTGTCAGATCGAATGCTGGCTCTCGTAAGTCTTCATTGACATTAAAATAAACTGCTACCTGAATATGATACCTATGTGTTAATCTAATAACTATTCCTCAGTTATATATATGTGTTAATATAATTACTATTCCTCAGTGAGATATGAAGAAAAAAGAAATTAACTGCATTCTGAACATGATATTTATGTGTTAATGTACTAACTGTTACTCAGTGATATACGAAGAAGAAACAAATATACGCTTGAACTTAATAAATTAAAAACCAATTCATATAGTAACATTTCTTTCCTGTTGACCTTTATTTGAATTTGTTTTTATGTTTACATGCAATGTGTAATTATCTCAAATCTATGAAGATTATCATGAATCTAAATATAAATAAAATATGAAATTTCAATTTCAATAGAGGCAATGTTTAGTCAGATCATTTAAACATTATTATGTGTTTTTTTATTATACGAAAATGTTTTGTTACCTCCATCAAGCAAAGTCCTCTTCCATTAGCATTCACCGATACACTTCGTACTGTATTTGGAATCTTAATGACACCAACACAAACATTAATATATAATATATATATATATATATTTATTACGTTATAAATTTATATTGAGGCTTTTCCAATACTGGAATATTCAAGATTTCCCTGATTCAAAATTAACTAGTTGCTGTCGGTATATCTGTTGCAAAAGAATAATTCATATTTTGACCAACGATTAAATCTATATGTTGTTATGCAACCAAGAGAAAAACAGAAATGATATTTGGTGAAAAGGATAAAGAATCATATGTCGAATACAAAATAGAATATAAGAGTAAATGAGCGTGTAATTCCAAAAAACAAGAGTGAAAACAAAACACACAATTAGACTCAAAAGAACCTATCAAGAAGGCATCAAATTCAGTCACTGACATGTATGATGATGATACAACACTTCATGCCCATGGTATATATAAGGAAGAGATGGTGAGGAAATTAAACCATGTTGCCAACACTATAGATAAATGGTGTTTAAACAACAAGATGGTAACAAATCCTTTAAATAAAATTGAGAATGGAAATGGGGAATATGTCAAAGAGACAACAATCCGACCAAAGAGCAGACAACAGCCAAAGGCCACCAATGGGTCTTCAATGCAGCGAGAAAATCCCGCACCCGGAGGTGCTCCTCAGCTGGATAGAAATAAAGTTGTGTGCTAGTTCAGTGAAAATGGAAGTCACACTAAACTCCAAAACATATAAATGAACTAAAATTAAAAAAACATACTAGACTTACAATACCTCTAGTCAATGTAGAATAAAGAAACACATAGCAATACGCACAGTAAAACTCAGTTTAAAAGAAGTCCTAGTCCGATGTCAGAATAGGTAACAAAAGAAACTAAGCAAAATGACAATGATACATAAATGAACAAAGGACTACTAGCAGTTACTGACAACTTCTTTAAAAACAACTTGTATGCTGGTTGGAACGAATCAAAAACGAGCTTTGATAGGTCATAAACTTAATACATCAATACAAGATATAGCCCAATAACATCTGTTGAAACACAAAAGCCTCTAGATATATATTTGGACAAAAATTTAGACTAGAAATTTCAAATTGATCATGTATGTATATTATTCAGAATTAAGAAATATCTAGATATTAGTAGTAGAAAATCATTTTATAATGCTTATATTCTGCCCATATTTGATTTTTGTCCTCAATATGGGGAAATATTAATGCACATGGAATTCAACGAATTGGTAAGATGCAGAAAAGAGCCGCAAGAATTATACTGGATGCACAAATACTAACACCTTCTGTTAGTTTATTTAAAGAACTAAAAAGGTTAAATTTCAAATCTAGGAAATCTTATCATAAATTGATTCCTATTCATAAAATTCTTAATAATAAAGCACCTAATTACCTTAAAGAACTATGTTGTCCGATCATAAACCTACTCAGCAGAAATTTAAGATCTTCTGCAAATTAAAATCTAGCTGTAGTAAGGCCTTATAATAATTTGATAAAAAAAATCATTCACATATAACTCCTCAATACTTTGGAATAAACTACCAAATGAAATAAAATTATGTGAAAATCTTGGTACTTTAAAAAGAAAATGTGTAGATTTTTAAACTATAAATAATTTAATTTTGGATGTAACGCGTCTTCCGATTGGCTGACGTTGTTCTGTTTATCAGCTCATAGACATTATTTTGTCATGTGACCTTGACGTCATCAAGGTTTTTTCATGACTTACTCCGGTTTAAAATGGAATTAAGGATTAAATTTTAAGAAATGACTGTAAGATTTTTTCTGTCTATTCGAAATAACATAATAATGTGGTGCACACTTTAAAATAACAGGCTACGCGGGTTATGCAGTGTGCAACAAATTTTTGATGTTATTTCTTCATAGACAGAAAAAATATTACAGTCATTCCTTAAATGATATGTAACCACTCTCTAACTCTATCATGTATTTTAAATATTTGTGTATACTGTATTATTGTGTTTTTCTTGTTCTAAAGACAATCATCTAGCATGAAAGATAAATTATATGTTCAAAAATTGTAATATCTGTAATATTTGTTCTGTATGTTTTTGTTAAGGCCTCAAGGTAGATTAGAGAATGCTAACTGAGTCACCCTCTTTAGATAAAGTCATTATATTATTATTATTATTATTATTATTATTATTATTATAAAAAGACAGAACTCCAGTAAAACAAATAAACACCATTGGCTAAGAGAAAACGAACTAAGACGTTCCACCAATACAATAGATAAACTCATCATAGATACCAGGATTGAAATTTTGTATTTGCGCTAGACGCACGTTTCAACAATGGAACAATACAAATTTCTCCAAATGCCGAATGTAAATCATCAACATGTGGTTTTTTTTTCAACAATTGCCAAACGATTGATACGTGTTAACAAGTGTCTATAAGATATGTCAATCACTGAATCGTATTACGTCTAGATGAGTTGTAAATGAATATGACAGACATTTTACAAAGATCTGTAAGCACCATCAAATTCTATAAATCTCTTATTTTTTCAAATCTAAAATGGTCACAACTGACCTGATAGGGATGTGTCAGTTCCCACTCATCAGTGGTCTTTAGTTACGTTTCATAAGGGGGATAATACAAAGGGATTGAACGGAAATTACTGACACTTATTGGACCCCTAAAGCCACACAGGCTTTTGGTCAGGTTCTGTTGCTAAGATATTATTTTTTAGTCGATTGGTTTTGTAATCGCCTATCATCCGTGTTGCAGCGATTACTATGAATCTATGGACGATGTTTAATTATAAATTGACCTAATGATATTTTCTTTCTTTTCCCACTCAACTATTTCAAAGAGAGTACTAACATCTCATATATTACAATGAACTAGAAATCTAGGATACTTTAGAGACATGAAGATCCATTTGTTATGAAATAACATTTTTAAAAATGATGATGATGAACAACAAAGAAATAAATTTTTTTTGAAATGTGGTTATTTAATTTTGTTTCTTTTAATGAAGCAATGAAACAATGATATACAACTGAAACTTACACAAGATTTTTTGTTGTTATCAATATTCCTTAGGGGTAAATCTAAAGGTCTTAGTAACATTCTACCTATGCCATAGACAAAGATGTACACTTATTCTAATCAAATGTATTACCCATTTCATCATGTTCAACGCTTTTACATTTTCAAAGGAATATGATGTTGAAATCGTGTGACAATCGAGGCATCCACAGCAGGATATAACCACCCTGACAACTTTCCAATTTATTTTTTAAGAAGTGGCTCTGAAGAAATTAAGTGAATATTGGTATTCTAGTTTTTATATTTTGTGCTATTATTGCAAAACAAATCATCATACTTTAATTTGAAAAAATTATGTAATTAAACACTAACTTATTTATATATCCTGTACATGTTTAACGGAAATTAAGGATGGGGATTGTCATATTTTGATCCTTTTATATCATTTTGCGTGTGTAAAATGAAGTATACAATATTCCATAGATGTTATAAATTAAAGATGCATTGTATCTTCGACAAAATTTTCTATATATCTCATGTATGTGCACCAACCAGAAAACAAAATGAGCAAAAGAACCGTACGCAAACAGTTCTCGTCGCACAAAAGCAATAAATGTTTCACCGAAGTTATAGAAAAAAGAGAAAAGGACAGACTTTTTTCGGATCATAAATAAGTACTGGATCATTCTTTTCTCTTTCATCTTTGTTATTGATATTTGTTTTAACTTACATCTTCTATTTGCAATACAAGAGCATTCCTGTTGTTCACGTCGAACGTTTTTCCTTGAGGCCATGTGTCACCAACAGTTTTCACAGTCATTTGAAAATTTGATACGTAAATCTTTTCTCCCAACCCTGACAGAGCTTGAATTGCTATCACTGTGTCCTAAATAAATCATGTTTATGTCTTATTAATTGACCGAAATATTATGCATTTGAAATACATTATGCTGCTTTACTCATGTTGATTTTTCAGAACGGCTAGAAAGAATTGCATTGATAGTACTTTTAGAAGGTAATGCAATGGAAAAAAATAATTCAACATAACAGTCGTCATGCAGTTATGTTTGATCAATAAAGTAACGATGCATAAGGATTGCAAAGGGTTAAAGTTGAAAAATTGAGAAATGCAAAAGTAATTTAATTTTGATGTGTAATCAACATTGCCAACAGGAGGTTCAGAGTAAGTGTTATTCAGTTTTTAATCAGTCGAGATTGTTGTATAATAATTGAGGGGCCTCAGTGGTCGAGTGGTGTAAGTAGTCGAACTACTGTAACATTAGCCTGTCAACACTGAGGTTGTATGTTCGAATTCCACACGTGGCAAGCGCGCTTGACTCTATTCTTAAATGACAAGGATTGCCAGTTTTCCAACCGTAGTTCAATGGTTCACTCCGGGCACTCCGGCTTCCTCCAGAAATAAAAACTGATCGCCAGGAAATAGCACCAAAGTGCTGAAAGTGGCATAAAACACGAGTCAATCAATCTAAAATGTATGTAATAAACCATGGTCTATTTTTTTTAACATTGAATGCTATGCCCAATTCCGAATTATATATTTACCAATAATGATACAAAATAAAATAATCTATGAGTTTGACTGTCCCTCTGGTATCTTTCGTCCCTCTTTTGAAAGAAATCTAAATATTCTATAGAAAGGTTATAGTTTTTAAAATTAGTGTATAAGTTTAAGTCCGTAGTAAGGGTATTATACCTGTGTAGAAATGAATCCTCCTCGTGGATTTCTCTGTTTACCTAACCATTTCATTATCCGAATGCCATTGTCTGTATCGTCTTTGAGATTGTATCCTAACAGGATATAAGAGGTCATTTCGACATCTATAGCTCTGACTTTAGTTTGTGGTGGTCTCCAGGATTTCCAAGGTTGTAATTTGTCTGCTTCAGTTTCAGGTAATGTCCAGTATTTTTCACCGCCTTTAAAGTTAAAAGAACGTTTTTTTTTTTCTAAATAAAATTTTATCATATCATTTTTCTTAGTATACATAGTAAGTTGTATTTTCACCCCTCAAATAAAAGTTGTTTTCATCCTTTAAATACTAGCATTATTTGAAAAATTGATTTGAACATAAAATACTTTTCATCTTTTTATCTAAGTTAAAGGAAATTAAAGACACCTGCACAAATTCATCCAATACGGAATCATACAGCATAAATTTAATTGAAAACTCAAAATTAACAAATAATTGGGCCAAATACGACTTAGCCTCCATATCTTAAGTAAGAAAAATAATAGCAATTCTAATAATTTAATATTCAATAAAAAGTCATTTTAAGAAATTGATCGTATGAATGATATTTCATGTGCGCACTATTAGGATGGTGATATCAACATACAACATTACAAAAGTAGTATACAACAATAGCAGACATGTAAACATACTAAAATCATAAAATCTTTAAACAATTGCTGAGTTGTATTGACCAAGCAGTTGGGTAAATTAATCAAACATCACAGGCTTATAATATGGTAGATCAGCAATGCGTTTCGTCTAACTAATACTAATCAAAGACACTACAATCAAAGATCTTGGACAACCAATTTAAATACGAAGTTAAAGAGCAAATATCATAAAAGCCAAAAATTCCAAGAGAATTTTTATTTGCTTATATTCATTATATGTCATTTATGCAAAAATAAAAAAACAGGAAAAAACGTCCACAGACTAATGGCCAACATACTGAACTCTAACTTGAACAAGGAAATGGAAGACACCACATAATTTGGAAAGAACAATCTAAATGTGTTCGTTTCTACATGACACTAGATAAGTCTACTTTAATATCAAATAACTACCAACAGAGAGACAAGATACTGTCATTCAAAAGTGCAAATATGAAACTGATAAACACAAAATGTGTTCGGCAATGTAATGATCAACACAGACTGTTGAAAATTTGGTGTTCTGATACATTAAAATCCTTCCTTGATAGGGTACCTAATTCTTGATAAACTGATAAAAACAAAATGTGTTCGGCAATGTAATGATCAACACAGACTGTTGAAAATTTGGTGTTCTGATACATTTAAATCCTTCCTTGATAAAGTACCTAATTCTTGATAAACTGATAAAAACAAATGTGTTCGGCAATGTAATGATCAACACAGACTGTTGAAAATTTGGTGTTCTGATACATTAAAATCCTTCCTTGATAAAGTACCTAATTCTTGATAAACTGATAAAAACAAATGTGTTCGGCAATGTAATGATCAACACAGACTGTTGAAAATTTGGTGTTCTGATACATTAAAATCCTTCCTTGATAAAGTACCTAATTCTTGATAAACTGATAAAAACAAATGTGTTCGGCAATGTAATGATCAACACAGACTGTTGAAAATTTGGTGTTCTGATACATTAAAATCTTTCCTTGATAAAGTACCTAATTCTTGATAAACTGATAAAAACAAATGTGTTCGGCAATGTAATGATCAACACAGACTGTTAAAAATTTGGTGTTCTGATACATTAAAATCCTTCCTTGATAAAGTACCTAATTCTTGATAAACTGATAAAAACAAATGTGTTCGGCAATGTAATGATCAACACAGACTGTTGAAAATTTGGTGTTCTGATACATTAAAATCCTTCCTGGATAAAGTACCTAATTCTTGCTGATATGCTGTATTTTTATAAAGAAAGTTAATTTCTTTCAACAGAAAAAAATATTTAAAAATTGCGATAAATACCATTGACTTTTGCCTTTTTCTCAAGTTCAGTCAAAATTGCACCTGCCAACGGATGTTTTGCCAACGACAATGCATAGAATGATATAGCAAGTTCATATACATTAGCAATTGACGCAGGTGCACCATTTGCTACAAACTCTACTGCATTCTTTATAGCTTTGGTTAGAATCACCTGCACCTGAAAGATAGATATTAATTATTTGTTGGTAATATATTCTTCGTAATCTAAATTGTATAGATAGTATGCATACTTCATTAATAATAGCAAGGTTAAACATTCTATACATTTCTTTGCTCTAAGACTTCATTAATAATAGCAAGGTTAAATATTCTATACATTTCTTTGCTCTAAGGTTTAAATATACGATTACCTATAGTTACTTACGTCTACGTCACTTGCACCCTGGTGGATAGTTGTCTCATTGGCAATCATACCAGCTCCATGTTTTGTATTATTAAAGTTCTGTGTGGTTTTCATTGTGATTTGGTTTTACTGTTTTTGTTTTCTGTTTGATCATTTGGATGGTTGGTTATTACAATAGAAATGAAATTCTAATAATCGGTGAATGATGAATAAATCAATTATATCATTCAGCAATTGACAGTAAATATAGTTTATTGCACGGTATCAAAAATAAAAAAAGTTTTTTTTTTTTTTGGATATTTAAAAATCAGAGTACAACCGATCGATGCACCAATTGCAAACTTAGTTTGAGGAGAGAGATTGATTAGCTTGAAACACAACAATTATCCTTACGATTACATACCTCTGTGGACACTTGTTTATTATCTCGTGCTTCAAGAAGTGCAATGAGTACAAATGCTGTCAGACTCCTTTTACTAGACACAGATCCTCCCTTCAAAACGGAAAATTTAAATCAGTATAAACTGTGTATTATAGTTAAACTGTAATGCCCTAACTATAACTACATGTAAATCAATCACAATTTATTGTATAATCAAGATTGTAAGAAGGTATGACAAGGCTACTTTGGACCCCTTGATTTCGAACATCAAAAAGTATCATAAATCTACAAAATAATATCCTTCATCAATATGTTAATGTGTGTAAATTTCTTTTCGATTAAGCCAATTGTTCATTTCTATTTTTTGTCCAAACCCTATATGCAAACGGGTCATTTTTGCTAAGACTTGTCAATTTCAACATGTATATTTCATCATTGTGACATCACAAGTGACCTTTCAGCAAAAGTGAAAAAAGGCGGAAAACAAAGACTGATGACAAGGTTTCAACTAAAATGTCCTCTTCCTTAAATTATTTAAAGAACAAAATGCATATTCAAGGACTACATGAGTTGTACTTATTTGATTAATTGTAATCAACAAAATGTATTCAAACCTAACCTGGTCCAATTTGTCAAGACCGAACAAACGTTGTTCATGTTGATAAGGAGTAAATCATAGTTATTCTATACTTTGTATGACTATCCTTTCAGTTAAGACATAAACAAATAATGACGTTCCCAATTTTTTTGTTGAAGATATGAATGATGAATCCAGATGTCCAATATACATACACTAGTATAGAATTGATAAATTAAAGGACAGTTGGTATTTTATTTGAAATGCAGAATAAGTATCAGTTAGGACAGATACTCCAGCCAAGTTTGATAATTCTAAACATTTGGGCTATATATCTATCAAAGGAATATACCTGAAATGACTGTGTGTGTGTTAATTAGGTCAAGGTAACATTTAAACTTAAAGCTGTATAAAACAATATAAATGTGTGTTTTTATTTTACATAGATACTCTTTTAACATTTTAACAATATGACTTTTACTATTCCGGGTCAAAACTGCTGATCTCATAGTCTCGATATAAGAAGATGAAAGGTATAAATTACAAAAGCTCTATTTCTAGAAAACAAATGGCTAATAGCATGTAGATAATCACAAATGTCCTTATCGGTTTAGATACAATTGTCATGCGAATTGAATCGTACATGTGTATTAGAAAAGTGTTAATATGTTTTTCAAAAGGCACACGATGACAATCAATACGTTTAAAAACAAAACAATAATAGTAATAGCTTTTTAAATATATCATGTTTTTTGCGCAAATAAAATAGTAAATAATGTGGTATTACATTATTTCAATTACACCTGCAAGTAATGCATAAAGGGTAAATAAAGATACCTATAGAGTTGCAATAACTACTCATTTACCATGAGAATGAAAGTGCAGTACTGAAAATAATAAATATAGATTTATATCTATCATAAATAATTTAACCAACAAATCTGATTGTACCTGCATTTCCTTATGGAGAACAATTCCTGGTTCATTAAAAGCCCCGGATGTTTCTTGTTGCTTTATAATCCATTGAACAGCCTTTGATATGACATTGATGTCAATATAGGTAAAACTTACAGCTTGTGAAAATGATTTGATCACAAAAGCAGTCAACCTATGAAATCGAAAGTTTTCTTTTCAAACATTAAAAAATAACAATGTAAAAATAAGAAGATTTGGTATGATTGTCGACGAAATAACGTCCCGGAGTGAGAGAAGTTAATGTTTTAATTCCCGGTCGTGTCGATCCAACGACTTGAAAACTGATATTGGCTGCTCCCTGCCAAGCACTCAACATTAAGAGTAACACAAAAAAAACTTAACAGCTCAGGATCTGAACAAAAATGCACGCGTTACTGTACGTAACATACCCTATTCGTATTTCAAAGTGTCGGAAAACAGAAAGTTTATTTCTGACATATCCGAAAAGCACAAATATAAAGTCATTCTGATAGAAGTTCTGAAACAAAGTGTGACAAAATTATTTTGTTACGAACGGAGGAACGAACGGATCGACGTACGACAGGACGTACATGGTATTTGCAATACACCCCATATGTAAAGTGGGATATAGACTATTACTGTCGTGAACTCGCACGTTTACTAATCCCCTCAGCGTGTCAATCTAGTCTAAAACAGGGTTCGTGTTTACATTATATTCATATATATATCATCATCATCATCATCATCATCATCATCATCATCATCATCATCATCATCATCATCTTTGATTGTTGTGTCCTTTATCGTTTTCTTTTATTGGTGTATGCTTCTGCATTAATACTAGTTCTAATATTAGTATACGATGTGTGTTTCTGCATTAATACTACCTCTAATATTAGTATACGATGTGTGTTTCTGCATTAATACTACCTCTAATATTAGTATACGATGTGTGTTTCTGTATTAATACTAGTTCTAATATTAGTATACGATGTGTGTTTCTGTATTAATACTAGTTCTAATATTAGTATACGATGTGTGTTTCTCCATTAATACTAGTTCTAATATTAGTATACGATGTGTGTTTCTCCATTAATACTACCTCTAATATTAGTATACGATGTGTGTTTCTGTATTAATACTGTTTTAATATTAGTATACGATGTGTGTTTCTGCATTAATACTAGTTCTAATATTAGTATACGATGTGTGTTTCTGCATTAATACTAGTTCTAATATTAGTATACGATGTGTGTTTCTGCATTAATACTACCTCTAATATTAGTATACGATGTGTGTTTCTCCATTAATACTACCTCTAATATTAGTATACGATGTGTGTTTCTGCATTAATACTACCTCTAATATTAGTATACGATGTGTGTTTCTCCATTAATACTACCTCTAATATTAGTATACGATGTGTGTTTCTCCATTAATACTACCTCTAATATTAGTATACGATGTGTTAAAAGATTTCCAAACATACAGATAATGTGCACATTGGTGGGATTCTCAGGCATTATATTGAATAAATCTTACCACGTAGCTCCACTTTTATCATTATTTCCGAAGGCGCTGAAAGATCCATCGTTATGAACATATGAAAGTTCTCTCTGGTAACCTAATTAAAAAAGAATGTTAATAAAGATCATTATAAGAAATAAAAAGTGCAACTTATTTATAGCTAATTAATATCTGCCAGGCATGAAGCCTTAGATGGATATGGCTATATTTTTATGTCCTTTTTGGTTTATAGCTCTTCAACGTTTTCGGTCCTTAAACATCCTTGGCTTTCAAATATTTGGCTTTGAGAGTTCCTGATGAAGGTAAATCCAGGAAAGCGCTTCGGACGCATAAAATTTATAACGTGTTATTTACATTTTTTACAGCACTGAGTCGATACCTCTGCTGGTGGATTATCATTCCCCGTGTGTATCATCAGCTCAGTAGTCAGTACTTCGGTACTGATGTGATTTAGAACAAACCTTTCTAGAATTGCCCTTTATAAATTAGGAAATTACACAGAAGCTAAGATATCAACTCCCAAAGGCAAAGTTGGCCTTATATGGATTTGGCTATATTTTTATGTCCTTTTTGGTTTCTAGCTCTTCAACGTTTTCGGTCCTTATACATCCCTGGCTTTCAAATATTTGGCTTTGAGAGTTCCTGATGAAGGTAAATCCAGAAAAGCGCTTCGGACGCATGAAATTTATAACGTGTTATTTACATTTTTTATGAAGACTGATCTGTAAAGGCGCTAATCATGTAAAAATAAGAAGATGAGCTATGATTGGCAATAATACTCTCCGCCAGAGACCAAATGGCGTAGAAGTTAGCAACTATAGGTCATCATATGGCCTTCAGAAAATGAGCAAAACTAATACATCATATCAAGCTATATAATGGTTCTGAAATGAAAAATGTTATACGAGAAAACTAACGGATGATTATGTTCAAAAGAATAAACGGAAAACAAATACGATATATAGCAACACACGGCAACCACTGAATAAATCATGTTATCACGTTATGTAATATTTTGTTTAGCAATCTATGTTTTGTACGACGACTCGTGGACACAAAACGCCAATGACTGTTGTGGGTCACATGTCAAAAAGTAAAATAACAAAAATAGACCCCAAAGAAAATTCAAGACGGAAAGTCCCTTATCAAATGGCAAATTTAAAAGCTCAAACACATCAAACAAATGGAAAACAACTGTCATATTCCTGACTTGGTACAGGCATTTCCTTATGTAGAAATTTTGTCAAATTATTCTTAGAATCAACTATCTCATGAACAATGTACAGAATATAAACGATTATATTTCCCGAATTTCAAAATGCCGAATTCCAAAATAATCATGAATAATATGACGGATGTACTGCTGAAGTTTACAATAAGAGGTTTAATCTGTTTCAAAAAGTTACAGCATTTCATATCATTGTAGAAAACCTTCCAATGGTGAGAGAACGACAATACCATACTTTTTTTTTCTTTATACGACGTTCTTTATTTTTAATTACATCGAAACATCCCTTAAAATCTGTTCAATATGTAGTAATTCCAAGAGGCCAGCTAAGATTTTTAATATCGGTCAAACAATTAATTTTATTTGCTGTTATATACAAGCCGAAAATCGGACGTAAATTTTGGTTGCTAAAACGTTTTGACCAATCGAACATTAAAACATTGATTTTTGTTGAAGCATATATGTCTTTAACATTCGTTCCTGGTTATCTCGCGTTCAATTTTTATTCATAAACAATACTTTTGATACGATAATGATATCGCAAACCGTTCAATGTTAAATGAAAACAAGCATGCTAGGTTAACGTTCTACTTTTTAGCCCTAATTTGGCATAAGTTTTAATTGAATGTTGGTCGGGTTGTTGTCTCTTTGACATATTTCCCATTTCCATCCTCTATTTTATATACAAATTGCGGATTCAACAGGCGTAGAGGGCGTACCTCCACTCACCCTTTTTTAAAGATGGAGATGGAAGTATCTGTTTTTGGCATAAGTCGTAAAATGAAATTGCAGTAATTTTTTCTCCATCTAGGCTAATAACGCCCTCCTATCCTTGTACGTTTGATCTTCTATAAATATATTTGCTTTACCTCCCTCTAAAATGTTTTTCACTCTATTGAGTACATCATTTGTAAGTCTGTTTGTTGTTCTCAGGTAGGTGCTGACGTAAACGTTTGGAGCAAATCTAATCATATTCTGTTCTCCACAACCGTATGAAATCTGAAGAAGATCCTCCAGTCCCGCTAGTGTTGCTCCTAACAGGTCGCCTGTGAAAAATTTGTTACAGTTATGGTTAATTTTGTTCTCTTAGATTAATGTTATACTGATTTACAGATGATAATACAAGAAATGAACATAATGAAACATTCCGAAACTGTGTTGTTTCAAGTGAACGGCAATGTTTTCGACTTTACAATGGGTTTAGGCGTCACTTACGGATGTACAACGTACCTTATGGAATAGAAAGGTTAATTTCTGAATTGGTTCATTCTCTGTGACAAAGCATTGCGTGTAATGTATTCTAGTAATTCACAAGTAACACAATAGTTCTACTATATTTTTCTCTATTTCTTTTCTGACTTTTTTCATTTTAATGTTTTTTTTAACGTTTTACCATGTATTTGGTGTTTTGTAAAAACAGCAATGGAACAATCTTTTAATTTTGTTAGATTGCCTCATTTAAACGTATACCAGTATGCCAATTTTCTTGTTACTTTCTTATTGTATTATAACATGACTTGTAAAGATACCCGACGTTAAATCTATAATTGAAACTGTTAATATAAGAAAAATGTGTTGTTAAAATGAATACTTATAGTTTAATATAATTATATTTCATACTCACCAATCACTTGAATTTTGATAAATTCTGAATCTTCAACAAGATTTGCCGGGAAAGACAAAGGAATGGTCTCTGTAAACCCTCCTCCTTGTCGGAGGTCAATAAGTAATGGAACGTTGTAGTTTTGTTTTATACCTTCTGCCTACAATATTAATTACCTATATCTAATTCATGGCATCATTTTACACTTACTCAATTTACTGTGGTTGTAACCGAATATGTTTAGCTACATGGAAAGACGATCTCTATCAGATTTGAAGGAAACTTTTTATTAAACACGAAAACAAGACACAAAATGTATTCATTTCACAAATCAAATAAATTCTTATAACGTTCCAACATGTTTTCATAATTTAAGACTTCGTACCAGACGTAAAGTAAAAAAAATCGAGAATAGAGATGTAAAACAATTTAATAGGTGGCACACCATTCTTTGATTTCAAGCATTCATAGCTCTTTTGTCTTTAGTTCAAATAACGAGAAAGCCATTTTATGGCAATGCAGTGTGCTGAAAATTGCAACATAGGATATGTACCAAAATTGGTACTTCAGATCCAAAAACCGGTCAAAATAAACCCTTCTTTTTAAATTTCATGCAATGTTTTTATTATGCAAATTTACCCGTTAAAATATATTCTACAATGTTTACCGGTCATTCATCGGCTTTCATGTGAACCCAAAATAGCCAAAATATTTTGCATACTTTTGAAATTAAGCCTACGCCTAAGAATTATTTTGTTTTTGAAAGTATTTTTTTGGTTTATTCTTTCTGACCGGACCCGAATTTGTGGTGTTACACATAAAGCAACAAATAGTGGTAAATTTTAATAATCGATCTGCTTATATAAATCATAAAATTACCTCTATCAGGAATTCACGCTGAACAGCATCGGCACCAATAGTAGATCTTGCAGTTCCGTCCAAAAGTATTTTACCAAGAGCTGTTGGTTTAAGAGGAAAATACACAGAATCCACACTGTTTTTCTTCACAAATACAGACTGCAATCATTTAAAAAACGATAATCAATTATGTTGGATAAATAGGATGAAACATGTTCGCTATGCCCGTGTCTGAAGGGACGTTTAAGATTTCAATTAACGTTATCTATTATAACTTGTAAATTATTAAGTCAGGGGTTTTTTTTGGAACGTATGTTTTTACTGCAAAATAAAACATAATTATATATAACGTCATTATACAAAGTCATGAGTTTCTCGTGGTGTTTAGGACGTCTTAACATTAACTCCATATGATGTTCACTGATTGATACAGTTTCTCTGGGAGGAATTTTTTTTGATAAGTTGTAAACGAATTTGAACCAGCTATGTCTATTGTTCTTATGTTAATTGTTTTTATTTTGTTTTTCGAACTGATCTTTCGAGTTCAACCATTAACAACTGATTTCTACAAATTGTTCTTATGTTGTGCTGTAACACAACTGTAAGGAGGATGGTTGGTTGGTATCTAGTGAATAGTGGTCCCATTGGCAATCATACCACATCTTTCTCTCTTTATATCTTATATACAAGGAATGTATATTTAAAACGATAATAAAAAAGATTTCATGGTATGGAAATATGAATAAAACAACAACAAACAAACAAAATAAATACAAAAATAAGGATAATTTCTGATGAGACAACTATCCGCCACAGATAGAATGACAAAGATGTCAATAATTACATGTCTCTTACTGTACACAACAATGAGCAAAATAGATACCGTATACGTGCAGTAAGCTGTAAAAGATCATTCTTACTTGAGTATTTTGATGTTTTATAAATGATGATGCATAGTATACATATTCATTGATACTATACGCTATCCAGTATAAATGGTTTTTATACTATCAAATATTTTGTGCAACAGCATCGGGTTACAATCATAACACAGTTACCTTTGTCCAACCGTCTGAGCCTGGATTGAAGTCGTTTCCGTTTGCATCAACAAAGGTAAAGTTTACATTGTTAGCAAGTTTCACAGAAACCTGGAAGTATATTTCATATTAAATTTCCAAAAATATAGAAATAACCTTGAATTCAATGTAGTGTAACAATCTCCAAATGATAAATTTTCAAAATACGCAATTGTTATCATTTTGGACTTGTCAAGACTTTGAAGAGGTAGATGATTTGTATTGTCCCATTCCGGAATAATGCAACAACATATTTTGAAGACGCCTGGTTATAACCACAAAGGTAAATTTTTCTGCCTAGTTGTACCTTTTCGAGTATATTGATAACAGAAAAAAAAGGGTAATTTGTAAAGAAAAGGTTACCTAGATCATCAGTAATTAAAAAGATAGATATTATCGAAATTGAAATACGGTATATTTGCACTCAAGAAGGGTATGATCACCTCTCAATTTATGTGATTTATATCTGACAATCAGGTAAAGTTCCAAAGTTAAATGATGAATAACGTTTGATGACATCTTCCGTCTAGCTGGCTTTTTGTAGCTAGGTTTCTGTACCAGTGCATTATCTCCATGCATTCTTTTATTTTTTCACCCTAGATTACAGCAGCTATATATATTGATATTTATCTATATGTATAGCTTGAATGTTTGTTTGATTGATTTATGAATTGATTGGTTAGTTAATTGATTACTGATTGCTTTACGTCCGTTGTGTTTACTTGACCAAGGTCAAACATATAATACGTATATATATATATATATATATATATGTGTGTGTGTGTGTGTGTGTGTGTGTGTGTGTGTGTGAGTATAACAAAATATACAACTTAATTCATATCAATTAAATCAATGGAACAAGTGCATTTAGGATATTAAAATATAAATTGCATCTAAATTATTGGGAGCCTTTAAAATCAATGGTTAAATGTACTTTAACATAACTTATACATTTGATATTTTGTAGCTAAGCTAATGAATTTTCACCTGTTGATCTTGGTTTAAGTAATTGAAAACTGTGACTTGGACTATGATAATTTCACCTCGTATGGCGGAAAATGGAAGTTCAAAACGCATGAAAAACCTTTGGAAAGTTGTTAACTGAAATAGAATGTGTTATCATTACTAGTTGTATGTCTGTTATACATGTTACAAGTATTGCTCATGAATGGAAACTTCCAACAATTATGTTTGCATAATGTAAATTAATTATGCTGGTTTTAAAAATGAAAAGATGACATAACATAAGATACTAAACAAATACTGTAAGAATTTGTTAATGACATTGAAAACGTTTTCCTTCTACGATTTGATTAAACATTATGTTTTCGTATGCTTTATTTTTTAACTAGAAAAACAAATGTTCTGTCTTCCAGGTTCGTGCTCAATTTATACAAGATCTACATGACAACCAGACCAAAATGATTCATAAACATAAATTTGTCTTTAAAATCAGGATTCATTTTGATTGTAAACTCTTCTTCACAATGAAATATATTGGTTACATTAGCAGTATTTGCAGCAACTCCAAGACCCGATCTGGGATTAACAGCAAAAGCTGATGCAATCCATTCTGTTATAGTGTCAGGAGCTGTCGCTCTTATTGTTGCTGTTCCATCAGAACTGAAATTAAATTGATATTTATTATTGATTATTATATTTCATTATAGCATAATTCTCAAATCATTTAGTTATTATTCCAAATTTGATTAGAATAACACTTTGGCACAACATATTATTTTGATAAGAACGATTCTTCGTATATCTCAACGTATATTGCATGTCTGTACTCGCTCAGAAACAAAAGAACAGCTCGGCATGCATTTTTTTTTCTAAAAATAATACATATACGTAAATTTCATATGAATCAACGGAGAAGTGTTGATAACATCAATCACACAGCACTACGGCGACTTAAAACAAAACAAAGATATCTTGAAGTCAATACACTGTAACTAAAATAAAACAGGGTAAATATTGTTGTGTACGTATGCTAAGTTTATATTATATTCTGGTTACTCGAAAATGTAATTCGTTGTTGGTAATGTCATACTTAACTTACATTAATATAAAAAAGGAGATGTGGTATGATTGCCAATTTAGTAACTATCCTGCAGTCCGAACGACGTTAACGTTAGCAACTATTGGTCATACCTTCAAAAATGATCAAACTCCATACCGTTGTTGACCTATAAAAGCTGCGACATGGCACAACATGAAACAATACAAATGAGAACAATAAACAAGAAACAAATATGACAGACAAAAACCAACAATCTGATTGAATAGAATAGAGAATGGAAACGGGGAAAGTGAACTATACTTCGCTTACTAGGATCTGACAACGCTTTGTTAGATTTTCTGTCCTTCGGTTTTGTCCTAATGACAGAATTCAAAATTAAAACATCGTCGGTGCTGTGATCAAGCCATTTTTTAGCTACAGGTAGTCGAATATTTTTTTTTCTCTTTTTCAATTTGTTTTTCTTCATACAAGCTTCTGTAAGACATTTATATAGAGACGAGAACTATAACAACTTTGGATAAGTCATTTTAACAAACTTATTAACTTTAACTTGTGTTTAATATAAATAAGAAGATGTGGTATGAGTACCAATAAGACAACTCTCCATCCAAATCTCCATCCAAATCATCCATATCTATCATATTGTATTGTATTAGTATTTATAATTGCCTAAGGAAAGACTGATTGGAATAGCATTTCAAAAAAGTGTGGGATCAACTTCGATATCAATAATCTTGAACCAAATTTTATTCAATAACTTAAACAAGCATAAGATACTGATGAAAAACTTCCAAAATCCTTATCAACTGATTGAATTTGATATATAATTTTTCAAATTTATTCATGAATAGTATTTTTTGTACATTTTGATTTACAAAGGCACTATTTGCAAATGTATATCTAAAATAAAGTAGCTGTTCGGTCGATTTTTTTTATTTTTTTTTTTTTTTATTTTAAAGGTAAATAGCATGCCAAAGTTGACAGTAGATGATTAAAATGGTGTATAAAGTTTCTTTCTGCTGGTCATAAAACACATAATTAGTTTCATGATATAAGTTCTCCAATCCTCACTACACATTCAAAGTATTTTTTGTATAAACATTGACGGATCGAAAAAAGGAGGGGCGGTGTTGGACACATGATCCTATCAGCTAAAATACCAAATTATAAGTACATAGTATCGTCAATTGTATGTAGGACCATACGTTCTCATTAAAGTTTAGCAATATGTTTTAATTTATATATGAAAAATAAATCAATGTAAGAATCGATTAAAAAAACTTCAAACCAAATCTTTGTACCTATGACAGAATATAGTTTTATGTAATTTGTTGTAAATGTATCCTCACTTTGAAATTTAGCATATTTATAACATTCACTGAAATCTCAAAGGTAACGGAAAATTCAGACACAGCGAACGAATATGCACAACCTCATGAGGGGTCAAAGGAATATCACAGTCCAAAACATGAACATTTACAATAGGGAACGAAAAATCGTCTTAGTTGGTTAAAGTCTTCTCTATCATTTCCAAAGTAATTATTCATTATTTTAAAACCAGACAACGAAGTGTGTATTTTTTCAAGAAATATACCAAGTCATATTTAATTCTATTTTGTTGCAATTTGTGCATAAACAGCTTTTTGGAGGATTCATTCTTTTGCAACTTTGCTACACAGCGACATTTCATGTGTGCAGTGAAGTCGGGAATATAAATTAATATTATAAATATAGAAATAAGATGATGTGGTATAATTGCCAATGAAACAACTCTTCACCAGAGACCAAATGACATAGAAGTTTACAACTATAGGTCACCGTACGGCCTTCAACAATGTACAAAACACATTCCGCATAGTCAGCTACAAAACACCACAAAAAGACAAATGTAAAACAATTCAAAGATTTAATCTAAGATTAAAATATCAATCAGTACACATCCAACTTCCAATGGATATATTGTAAAGACGTCATTAACAGTCAGAGAAAAACATGATCTTCTCCAATGTCAAGATACATTTATCGACAGATCGTATAGCCATGGGTGTTCAAATGGATATAAAAATAATATTTAGTTTGATTTTAATTTACTGATAACAAAATATATGATTACAGTGTTGAATTGGTAACCTTTTAGAATAAGTTTATTGAAGGGATTGATAAGTTTACCCGGATCGTATCTAAATTTCCGGGCTCGGTTAACAACTTATCCTTAAAAATAAGGATGAGCAATCCCGATTGAAATAATTTTTCTAAAGGAAGGACTAAACTTTCAATCCAAATATTTGTATCTATGGAAGAATTTAGTAAAGATTTTAAGTAATTTGTGGTAACGAAAGCACGTATACTTGTGCCACAGAAATTGGATATTTGTCTATATATTTCTTTTTAACTTTTTCTATTCAAAAACAACCTTCGATGAAGCCGAAAAGAAAAGGCATTACTTGAGTATCGAATGCTATATTTTTACATAGCTTATCAAGTCGAGTGGTCTAGGTCGCTAGCCATAGTGCAGGCGATGTTGCAACTATGCAACAGAAACAGGTGTTCGAATCTCGCTGAAGGCAAAATTGGCTAACGGAATTTTGCAGGTCTACATTATTGGCTTAAATTTAATACAAAGTATATATTTATTGTGGTGTAAGCCCTGTGTAACATGGGGTTATGCAATGGAGAAAGTCCTTATAAAATTAGCGTCCTTCACGACAGACAAAAATAGCTGATCTGTAGTAAACAATCCCTTTGCCTTCATCATGTACATTGTTACAACCCTAGATTAAGATGAGTAGTAAGGTCATTCCTTGACTAACGAAAGCTATATTATATATAGCCGATTTGGTCGAGTGGTCTGTGACTCTGAACACACTACAGGCGATGTTGCAACGATGTCAAAGAAGTAGGTGTTTGAACATCGCTTAGAGAGCAGGTCTAACGTGGTTGGGCTAAATTCCAGCCGAAGTTTATATTGAGTGTGGTTATCAGATGGAGAAAGTCTTAATGTTGTAGCATACTTGGACGTATATATTCATGACAGAACAATAGCATGTGATCTAAACTGTGTTCTAGTGTCTAGCTTAGTATATATTTATATTCCGTAAACCAACTTATTTTCGAGGATACTTTATTTCGCGTTTAGCTCTTTCTAGCCATATCGCGGTTATTTAATTTCGCGATTTTCAAATTTACTTGACGTAGCTAAATAAGGAAAAATCCAAGTTTTACATACTTGCGTTATTTTTCTACTCGCGAAAGTCGCAAAAAAAATCGCTCGCGAAAATTAGTCGATTTACAGTACCTATATGAAGCTATTTCCTTTCTGAACGATATGTATTTATTTTGAATAAACATCCAAGTTTCAATGAAATGTGCTTAAAGACATACAATAATGATCTGTGTAAGGTCATTATTTACCATGATTAGAAAGGGATACTACAGTTTGTGAAACATTTAATTCATTAGAAAGTAATCGCTTGTTGTTCCAATTAGATTTGACTGGACAATATTCTGTTTGATATTCATCAAAGGGTTTACACACAATTCATTCCTCTATTTATAAGATTGAAATACTAGATGCAAAAAAGGTCTTTAACGTTGAAAGATTATTGAAAACCTAAAGGTTTTTGGATTGGGACAATTTGCGGTATCTAAAGTTTCTCTTGATTATGACCATAAGTTACATGTATTTTGGGAATTATTCTATTTTACAAAAACAAGTAAAAGGTTATTTCGGTTAATTGTGGCACAAATTTGGAATGCTCATTCTTAATATTCTGTCTAACATGTAAATATATGGACGTTTCAAAAAAAGAATGCATTTATCTCTTTTATTGCGATATTACTGATTGAATACTTTCATAATAGTTAAACATTTGTAAAGAGAGCACATAAAATCTGCGAAATACGTTCTCAAATTTGTCAAAACATCATCCAATTTCAATTTCATATCCAGACTTTTCTTTTAAAATAATATTTATCATGTTGCTAATACATAAAATTCCGTTTTAATGATGTAACATAACATGGTCACCAAATTCGTTTTCCCAGTATACTTGATTCAAAGAAGTGGTGATAGTAAAAAATACCACAGAACGTCGAAATAAGCGTAATTCCATCGCGTTGAATTCTGTTAAACGTATTTTTTCAAAACATTTTTTCAATACCAAATAGGTAACTGATCGGTAAATACACCAAAATAAAGGCAACAGTAGTATACCGCTGTTCAATAGTCATAAATCAATTTAACTGAATCAAATCCGGGCCACAAACCAAAACCGAGGGAATCACATCAACTATAAGAGGAAAACAACGGAACAACATAAACACTGAACTGCTACAAAAACAAACGCCAACATACATAGAAACGGACTATTCGATAACAACTGCCATATTCCTGACTTGGAACAGGACAGGAAGGAAGTCAATGACCATATTATTATTCTAAATCATTAAAACGGAATTTGTGTAAAATCTGTGACAAAGCCCATTTAACTTTTAACATTGTCTTTAATAGACTTATTTAGCGCTGGTCGGTGAACATATGATTATTTTACATCATTAAAACGGTAATTAATGTATCATCAACATTTTTTTTTTAAATTCTTAAGATTTGAAATTGGAAATTTTTTCGACGATTCTATATGTATTCTATACAAATATTTACCTACTGTGAAAGTATTCAATCAATGAGAGTATCAAATATCTGCCACAAACATTCCCTAAATGACAAAATATTTCCAGAGATATAACCACTGACGAGGGTCTTGATTTGGGGAAGTCATATAATTATACTGCAAGGGTGAAACTAGTTTTCTTATATCTCAATCCTTCCTTTTTTCCTTTCGAGGTGAAGAGGTACATATAATAACATACAATAAAAATCAGAATACCGCACTTATCATCAGCCTGTCCATCAACCGTGATTTCTTTTTCTAGAGAAAACTTTGGTTAAATAGGCAGTTGAAGTAAGATCACATTTTATTTTCGATTTGTCCGTTTAATTTAGTTAAGCTTGAATGGGCTAACTACTATTACATGAAACTGACTTCAGTTCACAAACCAATGAGGTAAGAATGTTTTTGTTTTTTAACACATTATGTAAACTACTTCATTCATTTATTCTAATTAGTAATGCTAATATATATTTGTTTTGTGTCTAGTAGTAAAAATCGACAACTTGTCTTATAGATCTAATGAAAATAGTGTAGATAATTGTATTTGAACTAATCAATTATAGAAACTAATTAAGAAAAGAATTGTTATTTGGAAAAGTTGTCACAATAATAGTTTAAGTACGTGACACGATGACATTAAAAAGATACCATTTGCCATTCCTTGGTCAAGGTATCTTTTGAACGTGCTAATCATAATCCATTGTATAATAACCACGTAACGGTATGATAAACAAAACCGCAAGTCCAAATATGAATTAAAAATATGCTCGCACTTTCTGATGTAAATGTAGACACTGTGTCTGCTCAGTCCATCCTTAACTCTAGTATAAACGGACAATATCATTGTTTTTACTATAAAGTCATCAGAACAGATATTGTTTAATATATCATTCCTTACCTTGTTGTTTTACTGACCCATATCCATGTTTCCGGAAATTTCTTTCGTGTTCTCCCAACAGATGTCAATTGAGCAGACCCTGCCGCTTTTCTGCTAGAATGCCAACCTTAATGTTATAAATTCATCATGATGATAGTAAAGAATATAGTAAAGCACTATCATCATGTTCTATTTACCCATAGACATGTTTTGGGGAACAACTTTCTTAATCGGAATGGAAACACAAAGCCTAATGTACTGCGTGTCGTAGAAGCCAACAACACAGGCGGTGATTCAAATCCTGAACTTTTTAAACCAAACAGGCAATCTCAACATACAGACAGCAATTAGTGTCAAATGATGCATTCTCACCCTGTTGTGCTGTTTACCCATAACCACGTTTCTGGAAAGTTCTTTCGTGTTCGTGTTGGAACAGCAAGGGGTCCGCCTCCGCCGCTTCCGCCTCCGAAAGCTGCAAAACTTAAATTAGGTTGCCCTGGTGCTCCTGGTACTCCTAGCCCTAAAAAAACACTCCGGCTGAAATTAAATTCATTCTCGCCTTGTAATAGTATTTATCATCTTGTTTCGAGTTGATTTTCCTTCTTTGCTCAGATTTTTTAAATAAAAAAAATAAGAAGACGTAAGTTGATTGCCAATGAGATTACTCTCTACCAAAAACCAAATGATATAGAGGTTAATAACTACATATCACCGTGCGGCCTTCAACAATGAGCAAAACCCATGCTGCATAGTAAACTTTAAAAACTAACACTTATTCATGTAGAAAATCTTTTAAAACACCTTTTCTCACAACAATTCGTATTTATCAGAATCATAGCTTTAAAGAAATCACTACATGCACTCTACCTTTTCTTATACAGTACATTTATTACCAACCCCGTTTTCAATTTTTAAAGAATTTGAAGACAAAGACTTTAATTATTGTCAGCTTACCCTATGTGCATGTTTTCTTACATGAAAAGACTAGAATCTGGTGAAAACTTTCATATCATCAACTTATTCTAGTATATAAATTCTTACACTACAAAACTCCTGATTATCTGAAAAAGTTGTGTATTCAGAACTCTGAAATTTATGAAAGAAATTTAAGATCCGTCTCAAAAAAACAATTAGGTAGTAATTCGGCCAAACACGAATTTAATGAAAAAATCTTTTGCATACAATTCTGTAATTCTATGGAATATCTTACAACAAATATAAAAACATTAACATCTTTATGTTTATTCAAATCTAAATGCCTCAAATATTTCTGTAAAACCACACAATGATAGATTATTAATCAACTTGAACACTATGAATGATATTTATCTTATGTATGTATACTGCTTGTTGGTTTTATTGTTTATTTGTATGTACTATATCATTTTGTACTTACTTTATGAGGGCCCAGGTAAGATTTGTGACAACTAATTAAGTTACCCTCTTTAAATAAAGAATATTATTATTATTATTATTATTATTATTATTGGTAATCGACATCTCTCGAAATTTGTAATCGTTACACACTGCATCAGTATATGTTCCTTGCTTAAAATTTATTTATGAACGAAATATTGTTCTAATTAATATGCGGTTTTTTAACAAGTGTAAGCGTTCTTGGCATTGTCCGATATTAGACAGCATATGTTAAATGTTCATAAATTGGAAATAGATACTCTTGTTTTGGGTTTTTTTTTTCAAGTACCAGACAATTGATAGCGTATGAATATGAAAAAGTTCATCAGTGGCCTTATATGACCGACACTCTAAAAATTTACAGTTGCATTAAATTATATCTGTATCAGGCCAAAGAAACAATCGAAATTTTTCATTTTGGTATATGTTCATTCTATAATAAAGATTTCCATTCTTCACTGGATTTCCGACTGATTAGACCCCTTCTTTTAAAAAAGACGGACGAATTAAAACATCTCATCTAGTCATCTAGTTAATCATTTTATTCTTGTAGCCAAATGTGACATGTATGCGCATTGCAGATAAAGACAAAATAACCCTTAAATAAACACTTATTTGAAGAATGATACTCTTCAATGTCGATTCCCATGGTTTTCCGAATTCGAAACGTTTTGAATGTTATGAGTGTTATATTAACACCATTCAAATGATAACAAGACGTAACATTCTTAATTATTTAATAATAGAAATAATGTTGGTTTTTTTTTATTTAATATTTGCTGCTGATTTTTAAGCAGTGTAAATTTATGGAAAAAAATGTAGGATATCTCACAACTGATTACTTTTCACCCCTTGTAAATAAACTCATCATAAATACCGCTTTGTCTTCAAATGACTCATCAGTGACGATCGAAACAAAAACGTTTAAAAGGCCAAATAAAGTACAAAATGGAGAGCATTGAGAACTAAAAATCAAAAAACCTGGGGTAGAAAAGTCTTAGTATTTCGAAAATTCATAACGTTTTAACAGTTAATTAATGAATAGAATCAATAATGAGTCATGTAAACACAGAAGTGCTGATTACACAACTGTTAACAAATTCAACAAAAAGAAACTGTTTTGTCAAGTATGGTATGTTGGTGTTTTGTTGGAGGTGGAAGTGTTATTTCAAAAAACGTTAGATTTAAATATATTTTCGGAGTAGTGCTATAGCATACATAATTTCATTTAATTTTAGGAACAACATGCTTGAAAAATATGTCTGAATCTGTAGTCTTCCACTTTCTGTCCTTGTAATTTTTATTTGCTTTCTCGTTTTGTTTATTTATACTTTTTCTCTTTATCTTGATTCTTATTATATTGTTAATGATATAATGGGGAACATTGGTACACTGAAATGCCTATATACAATGATTGATTTGGAAATAAAAGTTTAAAGAAAGTAATTTTCAAAACTAAACATAATTGTCCTAAATTGTGTCAGTATACAAATTTTAAGTAAATATTTCATAAGTTCTGATGTAACACAGAAAAAAATATAGCAATGCAAATAACGGAATTGCAGGTTTTCAACAGGATTAGAGCATGAACCTTTGGTCATGTAATATAGGGTTAACGATTTAATATGTGATGAATGTTATCACCGTTATGACCTATTATCGAAATGTTATAAGTAACACGATGGATGTCACCAGTGGAGGACGAAGGTTTTTCCGAAAACTTTGAGCGAAGGGTTGGCTTCGTTTTCCTTGGTTGAGTCCTATCTTGTTTGACAACTATTGTCTGCCTCTTAACATATACCTGGCTATTTAATTGATCGACTGTTTCTTGTTTGAATTCAGTGACATATATTGCAGTTGTTTGTAAGAACAAACTAATAAAGATCAAGAGTTGAATTTGATACGTCAATCTCTGTTGTTATTTTTTAAATGACTATCGTAGTTTGGTGACAGTTTAGGCATTAGGCACCCAAATCTAAGTAATAAACACCATTACACCTTACAGCTTATTCTTTGGGCTGTCATATTGAAATGTTTCCCTAGAGTGTTAAAATACCTACGACTTTGAGGTGGATTATACTGATAAAGCAAAGCATCTGTCAACACATAAACGCCAGCTCCCTGTAAACAAAATATACGAATCTTTAGTGAAAAATAATTGGAAAACAATTCGACAGTTTGAAATTATTCCTGGCAAAAATCCTGTCCATTTTAAGAAAACATGCTTGATGTATAGATTTTAACTCTTGATAACGGGATGACTTTTAATAAATTTAATTGAATATTTTTTCAAAGGAGTATATTACTTGTATTTTTGAAGAAACATTTCCTAAGTATTTAAGAATTATAAATGTTATATGTCTTTTTATTTTTATTTTTTTTTTTGTCAAAAATGATTTATAAACATGAAGAAATAACAGAACTAAAACATGTATCCAAAACTATTTTTATTTTTACGATGCAATCCTTTATCAAAAATACGTCCTACAGGGAAATTAAAATTTTTGTTGTTTTTCGTTTTTCGCCATGGCGTTGTCAGTTTATTATCGACTTATGAGTTTGTATATCCCTTTCAGACGCCGCCCGTTTTGTCTTCATCAGTGACACTCGAATCAAAAAACGTTAAAAAGGCCAAATACAGTACGAATTATAACCATATCAATGATAATTCTTGTCAATGACTAATGGGCTTGTGATACCCTTAAGGAGTAAACCTCAACCAACAGTGGCATCGACCTATTGGTTGTAACTAAACTCGTCGTAAATACCAGGTTTAATAAGTTATTCCCATTTTATTTTATATTTTAGATACTTGAAATATCTTAGAAATTGGGCTTTAATCGAGTTTTTAATCATTTGTACTCTTGTACTCACATTAAAAATCGAGAATGCATCCCTGCCATACACTGGTCTTGGCAACCAAAAATCCCATCCACCAAATCTTGGAAGGAATCCCGAGTTATCATATCCTTGAAGTGCATTCAATACCTTTAAATATTGATAAATAGTTATTGGTAAAGGGGGAACTTATATCATATAAACCGAGAAAACATACGAAAGACATTTAGTGACATTCTTTAGTTAAAATTTCTTGTTTCAAACTTGACATTGCTCAGTTCAAAGTTACATTTTTCTGTTCCAAAATATAACTATTTTCTGTTTAATTTTGATATTTTTCACTTCCATGTTGATATTTTTCAGTTCAAACTTGGAAGTAGGAAGTATAAACTTGGAAATTGGAAATGAAAATTTGGAAGTGTGAAATATAATTTGGAAGAAGGAAATGTCAGATTAAACTGAGAAATTTATCTTTCAACTGATAAATGTCATGTTTAAATTTGTCATTTCGGAGCCTTTAATAACTTGCTAATCGGTATTGGTTTTGCTCATTGTTGAGGGTCGTACGGTGATCAAAAGTTGCTAACTTCTACGTCATTTGCTCTCTGGTGCTGTGTTGTCTCTTGAAAATCAAAGAACATCTATATATTTTTTTTATTTTTATATTAGTACACAGAAATGTTAACTTGGAAGTGACAAATGTCAAGTTGGAAATAAGAAATGTCAAAATGGAAATGAGAAATTAAAACAAAAATATACTGTCCCTACCATTCTTTCGTACAAACATCAGCCGTAAATGAATTTGATGCATCGTGTTTCCTGAGCTGCATCAAATCATTTATCATTAAAATATTTTCTGTTTTGATATTTCATACGTTAAGTTAAGATGTTGAATTTGATTATGTCTTTAATGTGGCTATAATTACTGCAGTACAATTTTTTTAATATATAAAGTTTTTTGACCGGGCCAGCTTTGGTGGTGTCACATCTTACAAAGTCTATCCAAATTATTTTTGCAAAGAATTCCGCTAAAGCCGGTGCTATGGGGCCGTCTTAAAGTTGCAGTGAGGTGATAATTTGATTTTTGGGTTTTATTTTTGTCTGGTGTTGAAGGCCTCATTGTGACTATTGGACGAAGAACAACAATAAAAGAGCTGTTTCTTTGTTTTTAATGTGTATTTTGCTGTGCGTTCATATTGTGTTTTGGATGGATACCCCATAGCCTTTGTTTTTCTATAAACAAAAAGAGTAGATTTTTTTAACTGAGACGCTCATGTTATGGTCCTGAATTTTTACACTCGATCAACATTTACAGATAAACTGTAACAAATCAGATGCTTACATATTAACAATTGTAACGAAGAGAAAAAAATCCAGTTGGAATACCTGTATTTATTTGGTCCTATGTGTGCCTATCAACGTCAGACTCAAACTCTTTATCATAAAAGGTTGTCAATTTTTTTGTACCTTCATGGTTGTGTCTGTAGAGAATTAAGAGTAAGATAGAAAGAAAGTGAGAGAACTTACATTTTGTGTAGTTATATCATTTCCTGATTTCAGTAAAAGGACACTTTTATCGACTGCGAGAACATTGACTAATGAGTTTGGATCAGCAGTCAATTCAACTTGAACTTCATCACCTGGCTTAGCTCGTCTTGAGTTGAAGTTAATAGACACCTACAGGTAACAAAATCATTAATGTATGCAATTTCACATCACATTAGCATTATAGAAGATATCACTTTTTAAATTATAACAAAAAAATCCCTGTTTACTATACTATACTAAAATAGAGATGTTTTTTCCAACATATTTAATCCCGGCATACTTTTATTGTTCCTGTCCCAAGCCATAAGCCTGCAAATCAGTGGTGATAATGATCGTTTTTATTCAATTGATGAAATTTTTCTCTTTTGAGTATTTCTTTAGCCATACAGTGTTTTTATAGGTTACTAAACGGTATTGGAGTTGGTTATAGAAACAAGCAATCTTTTTACCCCCAACCACCCAATCTGTTTGAACATACACCTACCCAAATCTGACTTTACTACATAACATATTGCCACTTATTCTAACCAATGAAATATCAATGAATTCCAAATATTGTCATACTTTTTTCTTTAGTTCACGTTTGCCAGTACGGTAACATGTTCAGATGAACAATGCATTAGCAAAGATTAAAATATATTGAATTGATATGTTTCAAACTTAAAACAAACGAATGATATGGAAGACAGTGACACAATTTGTTAAGAAGACGAATACATTCTTTAACATTGCGACAATTCAGCATCAGTTAATTTGATTATAATCTTGATTTATATGTAAAATTTTTAAATACACGAACCTGAAAATATGCAATTTGCAAACTACACAACGGTATATAAGAGAAGACTTTTTAAATCATTTATACGTTGTTGCGAAAGAACAGACTTCATAGTTTCAATAGTATAGATGGTCTCACAATATATCAGATGCATCTGCATACGAAACCATTTAGTTGTGTCTCGACCTGTGTCTGAGATCTGGCTGTTGAGGCCCAAATTTTGACACTAATGTGTCTCCTCAACGTTTTTATACAGTAATTGGTCAGTCAGTAATATAGAGACAACTGTGATTTCCCTTTTAAACGACGTAGGAGTAATTAGTATCTAAGTCAGCTTGGTTCTGGTAGCTTTTTCTTTGTTTTCTTTTTATTTTCATCACGTAATGTTAATTAAACTTTAAAAGTATGATTAAGATTCCACGTACAGATTTTTTCTATGTTTTAAACTAAGGTGCTTTTAACAAAACAAGAATGTATAAAAGAAATATTTGGCCAATGTTTGTAAGGCAACTGAACAGTTATATTTTTATTAGGTGTAAACTTTAGTATGCAACCTTTTACATTATCCGTGAGAATACGGATGATTCTTTCCAAAGTGATACAGAATGCATTTCAAAAGTTTCAAAACGATGTAGCGTTTTATTCTATTTGATTCAAATTTAGTCCCTCAATTGTTTAGAGTCAGCAACAATATAAACAAAAACAATTATTAGTCAGTATTAATATGACTGTCTAACTTGATTATGACTATAAGTGGGTGTAATCGATAATGTTAAGCTTCTATTATAAAGTACCTTTCTTTTGTTTTATATGATAATGATATCTGTGTTTCGATTAAATATCTATTTGAATTTCAATTTCGTCGACAAACTTTGTGTACATTCATGTTAACACTCACTGAAACGACGCGGGAATATATCATTTTGACATTTTGTACCGCAACAACTTCCTTCTGGGAGAATTAAAAATACTTGCCAAAATCAATACAACTGAGTTTTGACAGGACACATTTTAATTCAGCCTTATAAATCACGACAACAACCGTAGGAATTAATCTATTTTATAATATATAAGATTCTGCAGTGAATTTGAATTCTGCTTTTTTTTACTTCATTGTAATTTTTTATGAAAGCACTGTATGCAATAAATGATTATAACCGACTATAATAAATGCTTACTTTATTATTAAATATGTCCTCAATAGGAAATGTAATGGCATCAGCTACAATTTCACCGTTTTGTCGTCTTACATAGTAAATCAGTAACTTTGCTTGGGGAATCATTGCATATGTGATTCTTAGATTCTGGTCTTGCTGTTTTCTATTTCTCATTCTAAATCGTCCTTGTGTTATAAGTGATCCTTTTGAAAAAACCTGTGAGTGACATGGGGATTTTTTAATTTGCATAAAAGATTTCGATATAAGATGTCACGAAAAATAAACGAATATTAACATTTTATGTGATCTCCCTTTTTTGTATCATAATGAATAGCATATCTGGTAAACAATATTTGTGGTAAAAAAAAACTGCACGCACAAACGAAAGTTGACAATTGATGTCTGGTAACCTGGAGAATGTCCTCTGGAATTAAACTTGCAACAATAACCCCGAAAGTGCTATTTCTGTAAGGGCGCGCACGAATATGTTTGTCTCTCTTCTTCGGAAAATGATAATATTGTATAGTTCCATTTTCTTAGAGAATCCCCTGGTGTTCAACTGAAATCTCCTAATTTTCAAATTTAAATAGCTATAACGACATAATGTTGCCTTTTAGTAGTCATTTAAAAAGCCACTTCTATGTCCTAGTTTTGCAGATTTTACGGAAGTGTAGATATTACCTGTTATTATATGCGTATGCGTATTGTGTATCACTCTGAAGTTTATCAGTATTTCGTTTGGTCCAACATAAATTATATATGTTTTAACACTGTTGTATTGTTCCAAATGTAAGGATAAAAACGAATATGCCCTTTCTTAATCATCTAAAAATTAATTATGGTTTGACACAATTTGAATAGTTGACGCATGCCCATCTCTCTATTATATTATTCCCGATAATTATTTTTAAGCGTTCGCAAAGTGACAAGAACAATAACATACTTTGTAATTGCAGAAGCGGATCATTTCTGTAACTTTTATAACTAATGCTAATCTTTGACCAGGCTAAACATAAATAAAAAACAAATATTTTTATAACAAATGAATACAATGCGATTGATACTAAGAGAACATTTTCTCCATTGCCTATTTTGCAATTATCTGTTTGTTTCAAGATAAATGGACTTATTTCCAGTTGTAATATGTACCCTCTTTAAATAGGACGGTCCTTCATTCGAACAACATTGCCTTAATTTTCGAAAAGGATTTTAATAAAATATCACTAAAAGTTATAATTTGCATACGATAAAGAAGGTCATTGTGCTACATTTAAGTTAATATTCTATGCCATACATATCCGTGCAGTATTCAGATTCTCCCGATTTCAAATAATGGTAATGATCTTTTTCTGATAATCAGGTTTTCTACAATATCAATATAACAGCGAAAGTTATTTCCTAGAGTGTAGTTTGGAATGCTAGAAATACACCTTTTGTGCTCGTATGTTTATTTGTTTCTTCCTTTTATCTATGTATATTATACTCTAATGTGTATTCAGTTTTGTATCCTTTGACAATTTTGAAGCCTGATATGATGTCTTAGTTTTAGACACAAAGAAATATTTCATTTTGAAATCTAAATAAAAAAACCGTTAGTGTAAGTGTTTATTAAATATATAAGACTTTTTGTTCTGAATTGTGTTTTAAGGTTTATTTGAATATTCAGGGCTGACTTGGCTACAGATAATGTTTGCTCTTTTTGAACTGTACCTGAGCTTTTCTGTTATTTTTAACTTCCACTTGTATGTAGTTTCTGCTTGGGGATTCTGCTCGGGACAAAAATTTGGATGCTCTCGATTTGCGATAAAAAGCCTGTAGTTAAAATTGAAAATAGTATTACATGTATAGTGGTTCATGGACACCAAATATCCTACTTAAATTATGAAAAAAAATATTCTTCATACTTAAGGTCAATGATTGCTTATGACCAAAAGACAGTATCAAGAACATAGATTTGAAAATATTTATTTTAATTTTCTTGTGTTTTACTGGTATTTGGGCTGAATTTGTTTTAACAGTTAAAAAGTAGATACAGTCTAGGGTTAATGTTTTCACATCAATTACTTTGCCAAACTTTCATAGCATTTTATCAAATTTGGCAGAAGCTTGTTTATTATAAAGAAATACTTTCTGGAAGTAAAAATTTTAAAATATGTTTTTTGAGGGGGGAATTCCGTATTTTATTGATAAATAGACATAGTTTTTTTCACAGTTACACACTTTTGAAAATATATTTATTTCAGTTATAGTTTTTTATTTCTTGGACCGAAGCTAATCTTAAAAAATCAATAGATAGCATCCAAAGAAAACATTTTCGATTTTTTTTTTTAAATTCTGTATTTTACTGATAAAAAGATTCACTTTTTACAGTCAACATTACAATTTTACACTGACAGCAGTAAAAACATGTTAGACATAGGGTTTTGCGTAACCCCTTACGATTTTTTCTATAACTAGACTAAGTATGTTGGTGATTATTTAATCTAATTATATCCGTTCATTTATATATTTTTAGATACCTCTATTCTACCAGACTGTGCTGCTTTAGGGAATCTAGCTGAGAGATTGATTATTCCTGATTCAGGGATCTGTTTCAAACGTGACAAGAGTACTTTTGTGTCTCTGTTGACTGGTTGTGGAAATGGCCGAAAAGGCATAATCTGATTACCGCCAGGTGGAGGTAAGCTTGGTGGCCCAATTTGTGGTTTCTTTTCACCAGGCACTGTATACGTTACCGTAATGTTTACAAAGCCCAATGGTGGGTTCAAGGGACTATCATCTCGCTGTGTAGCTCTCAACTAAAATGTACCATTGATAGACAAATATGTATATATGAATGCTAAAATATTTAAAGGTAAAATAATTATACTTTAACCTTAAATTACCCTGAATTGGAATTGACTAATCCCTCAAATAACAATGACAAGTAATGACATGCGGAATGATTGTCAATTGAACAACTGTCCACCAGTGACCAAATTGTGTTGATGTAAATATCTATAGGCCAGTTACAAGTCCATTTATATTATTAAATATTAACATATTGAGTGAATAATGTTTTCAAAATGTATTCCTTGTATCATCAAGCCTTCATGGCAATCCTTTAAGAACACTATCAACTTTTAAATAAGAAGACTTCTGTGCAAATGTATATTGGTAACAAAAAAGCTGAAACACATTTGCATCACTTATTCTTTTTCGTGCAGTTGAAAAAAGTGATACTGACGATACCAAAAAAGTCGAAAACGAATGGATATAAGAAGAAAAGACAAACCCAAAGTCAAACAACAGTATACAAAACAAAATATAGAAAACTCAACACGCACCCCACCAAAATCAAGGGGTAATCTCAGGTGCCTCGGACGGGATACCAGATCCTGCTGAACATGTGTCATCTATCTTTTTGCTCGTGTAAGTACACATCCTTAGTTAACATTTGAGGTATATGTTATTCCTTACATATTTTCTTTTGTTTTTATCGTTTCCTTCATATGTTTTGCGTTAAGAAACTTTGCTTTTTAATAAAAAAAAAATTCATAGGCAGGGCAGCACATGCAGTTATACGTCAATGCGTCGGCAAATCGGGAAAAAAATAATCGAGATATTGAGGTCAACGGTTGTCGAATGCGTATATTATCAATAGGTCGAACTACTTTTTACTAATCCATCTGTTCTGGAATGCACTTGTTATTGTATGTGCTTATTAGTTCTTCTGAGCATGATTTATTACTTTTTATAGTTCTCTCCACTTAATACGTTTGCTAGATTAAATTTTAAAATATTCAAATTCCCTAAGACAACGGTATTTTTTAAAGTAAACATTTTGTTTTCCGACCTTTCTTTAATCGATTCTGATCAAATGTTATGTACTATAATTCTATATGTCACCTGGTCAGTATTGTATGTTAGATGAACATTATGTGAACCGTTAATAGCGACATGTGGTGAAGCATGTTAATACTGTTACTAAATTTATCTAAATTTTGACGACAGTAGTTTATATCTCGCAACTGGATTAGGAAGAGACAAATCAAGGTCGAAAACAAAACATCTGGAATCGCTTCAACTCTACACGGAGCGCGACAGGGTGCTGCGACATGGTAAGTGTTATCTGATATGCATGCATCACGCGCAAGGCAAAACCACACTGAGATAAAATGTCACAATCACGAAAAGGAGACCTTTGATAAAGTAACATACCAGTCAACTTACTGGTATCTTATGATCTTAGACCGCGAAAACATGCCACTAGTGAGTTGAGACACCGACACATCGTATCGGTCAATCAATTTTTGAAGGTGACCAATAATCATGTACTCACTATTATTGTATAGTCCAATCCAGGTTTGAATACGCTTGACATACTAGAGGAAAATGCAAGTTTTTCTGGTGTGTCATAAATTCTAACATTTCCCGTATCATTTGCTGAGATGCCTGTAATTGCTTCTGTTACTTTAGCAATAACCTCTATGTAAGTTCCTAGTTTTGGTACAATTTCACTCATCAAAACTCGAATTGTAGCTTTTCCATTTATCTATATTGTATAATACATAAGTAAAGTCAACATGAAAATGTCTACGATGGATCATCTTCTAAAAAAAAGAAATGTTGTCCATTGGCATCAATATAGAATGGGTATCCTAAAGATTGTTAGACATGATATGGTAAAAGTAATTCTAAAATCGCTGTTTATGCAAAGCAGTATGAAAATTATGCAAATCAGCCATGCTTGTTATTGAATCAAATTATAATGTTTAATATCGTATCAAATATTTGGTACTTTATTTTAAAAATTACAACAACAAAAATACCGAACTCCAAGGAAAATTCAAAACGGTAAGTCCCTTATCAAATGGCAAAATCATAAACTCAAACACATCAAACGAATTGAAAACAACTGTCATATTTCTGCCTTGGTACAGGTATTTCCTTATGTAGAAAATTGTGGATTAAACCTGGTTTTATAGCTAGCTAAACCTCTCACTTGTATGACAAACGGTAATTGCAACAGGTGATTTACGATATTTTGCTTGGAACTATATTCTTTTTTATTGTTGCAATATTACTGTAGTAGAAATCATACTTTGTGGTATAAGTAACAGCATCAGTGTAAGTGTGTTAAGTGCAACGTTCAAACTAATGATAATTTTGAAACTTAACCATTTAAAAATACTAATAATTTTTATATTGATTGCAGGGTTTGTTGCTCGTGCTGTGTGGATACTGTAGGATGTGTCCCCGTGATTGTAGTGTATACCCTTATATTTTACAGTTATGGTTTTTTTGCTTGTGAGAGAGCTGTCAACTAAAAGTTTTTATTACGATTCATACAAACTCTGGTGGATAGTTGTCTCATCGACAATCATACCACATCTCCTTATTCTAACTCTGGTGGATAGTTGTTTCATTGGCTATCATACCACATCTCCTTATTCTAACTCTGGTGGATAGTTGTCTTAATGACAATCATACCACATCTCCTTATTCTTACTCTGGTGGATAGTTGTTTCATTGGCATTCATACCACATCTCCTTATTCTAACTCTGGTGGATAGTTGTTTCATTGGCAATCATACCACATCTCCTTGTTTTTATTTTAAAGGATACAGTCGAGGATTATGTCATTGAATAGAGAAAACGCTAAAAAATTATCTTAAGCACAATTTTCAAATGGGCAAAGCCACTTCGTTGATGAAAATGAGAATCTTAATTAATGTTTCTATTTACACTCATGCCAGTTCTGGCTTCAAAAAATCATATGTTTAATCTGTTAAATATATGTAATCTACAAACTTTGCATATATAACTGGCAATATTTTGACATAAGTTATATGCCATCTTTATATCAAGAATCATACCACCTCTCAAGTGATTTAATTGTATTTACTATTCAGTAGGCAATGGTATTAGTTCCTTTGATAAACCTTTTGAAAAAATGTTTGCTATAAACTTTTGTATCGTTTTGTATAGACTATAGTTGCAACTTCCAAAACAGCTTTCATGTTTGACTTCAATGCATATGACTTAGAAAATCGTGCACAAAATGCTTTAAGGAACATAATGATGACGCAACATAAACTTTCCTTACAATACGTAGGAACATATATATAACAATATAATGTACGGAAGTAAAACATATAAATAATGCTATCATAATTTTATCAAATATACCTTGAATTTCTTTACAATCTGATCTTTAGTATTTCTTGTCCATCGACGTTTTATAGTCAATTCTGCATCACCTTGTACTGGCTTCCCAAAGGTGTACCTTAATATTATTGATATGAATCAGAGCTACTGCTATATTTCGTGTAACTTTATACAGTTTAGGAGAAGTTTTGGCAATTGATTTGAAAATTTTTACAAGACCTGGGGATGAAATGGATGTGACAAATAAACTAAAATGTAAATCATACATATATGAAATTATTTCTGTTGGCACATCACATGTGTCTGGATTAGTCTTTAACATGTTCGATTTTGACTATATAGATATATTTGGAAAGTCAAACATTAAACTTATTATATGGTGCTGAAACATTTTAAATTGTATAATCAGAACATCCTTGACGTCTTTAGAAATTCAAATATGTTAATGAACACGCGATTTCTTTATCATATAATTACCGTCAATGATTAATTGGATTATTGTGTGGCCTGTTATATTTTTTCAGCATGAAGAGACATACAATTACGACATTTCCATTGGCATTTGTTAGGTCAATAATGACTTTACAAAGTCACATTTCACTAAAGGGAACTGAGATTTGTGAGTTTTTCAATGTTATACTAAACACTCATATTTCTTCGGAAAATGTCTGTTATTTTTCCATTCGTTCCGTTGGTTTAAAGTCTAACATTTGATTTTGTCGGTTTCTATGGACTTTTTTCTATATTTTTTTGGTGAAATTTTATTTCATTCCGAAGCGTGCAAATACCTTGACAACGTCTGATGTTAGCAGGAGTCTGGGTTCCTGACATAATAATCACAATACCATAAGAGGAGTTATTGGAAGAAAAATTTGCAAAAACAAAAATATTTCACCAAGACAAAAATATGTTTTACCGTAAGAGAAAAAAGCGCTTAACAACTCGTGAATATTGGACATCGATAGATATTATCTTTTTATATCTAAAATGATAATTATAATCTTGCCTAAGGTTCGTTTATTCTTATTGTGAAATTTAAAGAGTTGAAATCAAGCGATTTCAAGCGATATCCAATACTCTTTCGTTATTTAACCTACAATTATCAAAAAATAAACTAGAAGCAAATATAATTATTGAGAAAAAAAGATAATATATATTTTCCTACTAGTCGACGACCACTGTTGTTTTTTTTTGTTTTTTTTTTTTGTTGTTTTTTTTTTAGTTCGAAGTAGAACACCTCAGAAATATGTTAAAATAAAAATGGTGTATTTAGGAATCATAAAAGTGAAATATTCTGATGTTTTTAATGCCAAAAAAATTCTAATTGCATTGGAATGGGTTTTTTTTTTTTTTTTTTTAGATTAAAAGACTTTATTTGTTGGAGATTTGTTGAATTTCTCATGCAATAACTATAATTTTTTTTTTTTTTGTAATACGTATGGTACCAAAACTTGTTTATGATTGTTTATTGGTGAATACACGTTAGCCAATTGGTTTTTATTATCATTATTTTTCAAATGTGTGATTTTTTGTTGCTATTTCTTTAACGTATAAACCAAATCTCGTTCTTTTCATTTATATCACTATAAAAAATGAAAACAACATGTTATATATTTTATGCGTCAGAAGCGCTTTTCTGGATTGGCCTTCATCAGGAACGCTCAAAGCCGAATATTTGAAAGCCAAGAATGTATAAGAACCGAAACAGTTGAAGAGTTGTATGACCAAAAAGGACCTAAAAACCCAAATCCATTTAAAGTAAACTTTGCTTGAGGGAAGTGAAACCTTAAATAACGATTAGAAAACAAATAACAAGGCAAATTAAAAAATGGGAAGTCCATTAAAACTGACAAAACCAAGTGCTATCAATCAACGGAACAAGTGAAAAACAACTGAGATCTACAATAATAGAAAAACAAAGGATATGGGGTATCCATCCATGACACAAAATCAGTACATGCACAGCAAAAAAAACACACAAAAATCAAAGGAACAGCGGCATGGTGTGTCTTTGTCATCTATCATCTGATGATTTATTAGAACATTTCTTTCTGTTATAGAAGAAGAATATGTCTGAGGACACGAATGTCCCCGCTTAAGCTTTGCAATTTTTCCAAGTTAAAAAGGGCTATAACTATGAACAGTAAGTGACTTTTAAATTAAATTCGCACTTTGTTTGCGTGTTGTGGTTTTGAGTATTGTGTATGAGTTTCATACAATTTGAATGGGGAAAACTTACGTTAGATTGCGGAAACGAAACAATTTGCAATTTTTCCAAGTTATAAAGGAACATAGCTCTAGAACGGCAAGTGACTCACTGCCCACATTCGAACTCCAACTGCAAGTTTTGGTTTTTAGCATTGTGTATGAGGTTCATAAAATTAGCATAAGTCAAACTTATGTTAGAGTGCGGAAACAAATTAGGGACGGACGGAAGGACGGACGGAAAAACAGAACATAAGGACAGTCAAGGGTGACACTTAATGCCCCCGTTACCTACGGCGGGGGCATAAAAATATATTAAAAAACATACATTGCACTTTAAATATTTCTCCTAAATAGGCCATTTCAGATATGAAAGTTTGAATCAGGTATTTCACTTGGGATATTGAATTTCGAGTATAGAGTGTAAAATCGTCCATATTTTTTTTTATCTTTGACAGGTTTTACATATTTGGAATGATTGCATATCACAAGAGTACATAATATTTAATACTCAGCACGTGCTATATACTTACAGTGCATTGATAGTTACTGTGAAAAATCTGTCTGTTTTCAGTTCAAATGGAGGCAATACAACGTTCACTTCAAATTTAGGTAGAACTACATATAAAAACATAAGCAATCAGTACTATCTACATTTGTATCATTTAAAACAGAAATGCATGTTAAAAAGACGTTTGGATATAACTGTCGATAGACAGCCTTACGAATCGACATTTATTTGGATATTCCGTTTTCGTCGTCGAATGTCTTAAAAATGACCTATTAGTTATTTAACTATTTATCCATCTACCAATGCATAGGGACAATATTACTAACTGATGTCTATCGGATGTACGGACACAGCAATAAGTATTAATTGAATATAATAATGTATTGTCATAAAGGCATTATTCAGGGGACATTAAGGACATTGCTGAGAGAGAGAGAGAGAGAGAGAGAGAGAGAGAGAGAGAGAGAGATCATGTTAATTAGATACATAAGTTCTTAAAACACATCAGATTATAAATCAATACAAATAATTATCAAATGTACGATGGATTGTGTTTTTATTATATCAATGACGAAAATCCCATATAGGCTTGACCTGGTGTATATTTTTGTTTGTTTAAGTTTTATCAGTGGGATTGCGGTCTAACAAACACTAAACAAATACTTACCAACCCGTTCAACATCAAACCCTTTAAGGTTGTTTTCTCTCTAAAACAAATAAAGTAAGGGGCATTACAACACTGACCAAATTAAGTGAAACTTTCATCATATATATATATATTGACATTATTCATTTATACAAAATATTTAGGTTATGACACTAGGCGCAATGTTTATACTACTTGATATTTACTTGTGTCTAAAATAAAGGCAACAGTAGTATACCGCTGTTCGAAACTCATAAATCGATAGAGATAAAAACAAATCCGGGTTACAAACTAAAACTGAGGGAAACGCATCAAATATAAGAGGAGAACAACGACACAACAAAAACACAACATTAAAATGTAACACACACAGAAACGAACTATAATATAACAATGGCCATTTTCCTGACTTGGTACAGGACATTTTAAGAAAAAAATGGTGGGTTGAACCTGGTTTTGTGGCATGCCAAACCTCCCGCTTTTAAGGCAACGTCAAACACAACACCAAAACGACAACATCACATGACAGGACCACAATACAAATAAATGGGAGAACATATAAGACAAAGAAACACACGAATAATAGCTAACAAAAGGTACTAGGCTTAAAATTCAATACGCCAGACGTGCGTCTCGTCCACACAAGACCAACCAGTTACGCTCAGATGAAAAAAGTTTGAAAGTCAAAACAAGTACAAAGCTGAAGAGCACCGAGGACCAAAACTTCCAAAAAGTTGCGCCTAACACGGCCAGGGTTTTCTGTCTGGGACAAGAACATCCTTATTATTTAGAATAATTTATAATTTTGCAAACAGTAAATTTTATAAAATGACTATATAATAGATATACATGATAAAACCGAAGTGGGGACTAACTACAGAATAAAAACGGATACATTACATAAAACAACTTAATTCAACACATAAAAATACACAGCCGAGTTAGCCAAAGCCTCAACGCACAAAGTGACGTCACATTTGAAATTCTAAAAAAAACACACAAAGTGATGTCACATTTGAATTTATAAACATATTTCCCAAAAATAAGATAGGATTAGGATTTATTCAAGATTAGATTTGTAATACTGACATTACATTTATTAATAACAATGAAAATTACAATACTTATTAATATCAAATTGTGGTAGTAATTAGATAATTAATTGTATTATCTAGCTATGTCGGTGTTTCTTCTGAATCAAACTGTAAACCAAATATATCGTATAAAAGACATGTACACAGCTCCGTATTTACACTATTGTTGAGTTTCCATGCAACATTTATAAGTAATGGATCTGTTACTTGCTTGAAACAGCTCGGTAGTCATTTCTCCTGTACTGACATGATTTTTGAAATAACAAACAAACTAAGGTTTTAGCTCCCTCAGACAAAGTGTTCTACTACTAATCTATCAGTGCTTCTAACTACCTCCCTTACTACTATCAAAGAACTTGTTATTAACTTTTGTAATAAAGCTTATGAAAATAATGGTATTAATTATTTTTGGAGTGTTAAAAATTCTTTAGAGGTTTTAGATAAAATACATGCTTTTGATGGTCCTTTTAATTCTGTTGACAGTTATGATTTTTCTACTCTCTATACTACACTTCCACACAATCTTATCAAGAAAAAGTTTTCATATTTAATTAAATGGTCTTTTGAAAAATCTCATTACAAATTTATTTGCTGTAACTCGTTTAAAGCCTTTTTCTGTAACGAAAAAGGAAAGTATGCTAGATACACTTACTGGAAATGTGAAGATATGATTGAAGCTTTAAATTTTCTCCTGGACAACATATATGTACGTTTCGGCGATAGAATGTATCGACAGGTAGTAGGTATTCCTATGGGCACTAACTGCGCCCCTTTAATAGCAGATTTATTCCTGTATTGCTATGAATCTCAGTTTATGACCAAACTCAGTAAAGACACGTCATTGTTACATTTGGTTGATACATTCAACAATACCTTCCGTTATCTAGATGATATTTTTTCGTTAAATAATCCAGAGTTCTCTAAATATACTACCGAAATTTACCCAATAGAACTTACTCTAACTAAATCTAACATAAACAGCAGTAGTTGTCCTTTTCTGGATTTGGACATTTCAATCTCTAAAGGAAAACTCCATATGAAAATTTACGACAAAAGAGACGATTTTTCATTCCCTATGGTTAAATTTCCTTTTTCAGGTGGCGATGTTTCTTTGGCTCCATCATACGGTGTATATATATCCCAACTCGTTCGTTATGCCCGTGTGTGTAGTGATGTCATAGATTTTAACGAACGTAATCAATGCATCACTGGTAAATTATTAAATCAAGGATTTCGTTACCATAAATTACGTAAAACTTTTGCTAAGTTCTTTCATAGATACAAAGATTTGATTAGTAAATTTGGCTGTACTTGTAGAAAACTGATTAAAAACGGTATTTCACATCCTAAATTTTACGGTAATATTGTACTTAAAGCGCGGAAATCACTATGTGATCCGTGTAAACTCATCGAACCTTTAAACAGGCTTATTAGTAAAGGTTATCTTACCAATGTTGTAATTAGATCTTTGAATATAGTTTACATTGGCACTAATATCGATTTTATCATCAGCAAATTAAAACATAACTAAATTTGTATTTTTTTCAAGTGGGATGTATAAAGACACACCCACGTTCGTTTAGATCTATAAAGAGGTTAAACTCCTAACTATCCTACTGTCTGTCGATACATTTATTTTTGGCATTGCACTAGTCATGTCTTCTTTGACTGTCCATGACGTTAAAATACTAAATCCCTGGGATGTGTTTTAGTTGATTTTAGTCTCTGATGCATGATTTTTTATTATTAATTGTTTTGGCTTTTAACTAGCTGTCAGTAACTGCGAGTACTCTCAAATCGTACTTTCTTGTTTATTTGACCTGTTGATACTAATTGTATTGCTTTTTTGTTATTTAATGTTATTCAGGGTTATATCTGGTCTATATACCAGCTTTGATAAGTGTTTGGTATAACTATAAATTTTCACTTCGTACTATGAACATCAAAATTATTTATTTTGTAATAATATTTCCTTTCTCTATTGGTACTGTACACGTATACCTAACAACAAAATTATTTTCATTTACCTGTGTTTAAAGTTATTGCAAATGGATGGTATTTTGTTCGAGCATATTGTTTTTCTTTAATTGTTTAACATTTCTTACCGATATAACATGTTACTTTTATTATTCTTCCCTTAGTTTATTTATTTTGTATTCAAAATTATTTATTTTGTAAAAATATTTCCTTTCTCTATTGGTACTGTACAGGTATACCTAACAACAAAATTATTTTCATTTACCTGTGTTTAAAGTTATTGCAAATGGATGGTATTTTTGTTCGAGCATAATGTTTTTCTTTAATTGTTTAACATTTCTTTCCGATATAACATGTTACTTTTATTATTCTTCCCTTAGTTTATTTATTTTGTATTTACATAGTGTCATAGGTCAAATTTATTTGTTCAGTGTATTTTCAATGGTGTTAATATGTCCTTTGATTGAGTTAAGCTATTTCAGTTGATATTTTATAGTGTGTCTTTCTATGTTGTGATGTTGCACTATTGTTTCAGAAAAAGGGTGAAGGTTTGGTACCATTAAAACGTTTAAATCCGCTGCATTTGTTTGCACCTGTCCTAAGTCAGGAATCTGATGTTCATTAGTTGTCGTTTGTTGATGTGGTTCATAAGTGTTTCTCGTTTCTCGTTTTTTATATAGATTAGACCGTTGGTTTTCCCGTTTGAATGGTTTTACACTAGTATTTTTTTGGGGCCCTTTATAACTTACTGTTCGGTGTGAGCCAAGGCTCCGTGTTGAAGACCGTACTGTGACCTTTAATGGTTTACTTTTATAAATTTTGACTTGGATGGAGAGTTGTCTCATTGGCACTCATACCACATCTTCTTATGTCTACTTAGATGGATTGGGCTATTTTTTAGGTTCTTTTTAATCATATAGCTTTTTAACTTTTTCGGTTCTTATATATAAAAAAGAAGATGTGGTATGATTGCCAATGAGACAATTCTCCATAAGAGACCAAATGACACAGAAATTAACAACTATAGGTCACCGTACGGCCTTCAACAATGAGCAAAGCCCATACCGCACAGTCAGCTATAAAAGGCCCCGAAATGACAATGTAAAACAATTCAAACGAGAAAACTAACGGCCTAATTTATGTACAAAAAATGAACGAAAAACAAATATGTAACACATAAACAAACAATAACCACTGAACTACAGGCTCCTGACTTGGGACAGGCACATACATACAGAATTATGCATTCTTCACTTTCAAATATTTGACTTTGAGCCTTTCTGATGAAGGTAAATAAAGAAAAGCACTTCGGATGAATCCAATTTATAACGTGATATTTTTTGCAGCACTTGGTTGATACCTCTGCTGCTTGACTATCAGTTCCCAACAGTATCATCAGTTTAGTAGTCAGTACTGACATCATCTATAACTAACTTTTCTTAATTTTTCGTTTATAAATTTATAAATTATTAATAATAAATATATTCGGCTTTGATCGTTTCTGATAAAGTTAAATTTAGAAAAGCGCTTCAGGGGCATACAATTAATAACGTTATGTTTTCATTTTTAACAATGAACTTGTATAAATATTTCAACCATTATATGAACTATAGCAAGCCTTGTCGGAGATGACTGGAATACGTAAAAATGTTTTATATTCCCGTGCTGATATGATACACCACTTATTCGGGTTTTTATAACTAATTGTTCGGATAAAAAAATATTCTGACAAAACAGTTTTTTTATACAAATACATTGATGGCCTCCGCTTAATAATCCTTAACTTTTGATCTTTTCAAAAGAGAAGCGAAGGATACCAAAGGGACATTCAAACACACAAGTCGAAAATAAACTGACATCGCCAAAACTAAAGACTGAGCAGCACGAACCTCAAATAAACCTGGGGTGATCTCAGGTTCTCCGAAAGGGTAAGCAGATCCTGCTCAACATGTAGCACCCGTCGTGTTGCTCATGTAAGTACAAATCCGGT